AATGTGATATAGTCATTAGTGTTTTGGATGATCTGCACAGTTTCTCCGGCCCTCGAAAAACATATTGTGCAACACTTGGACTTCAATGAGAAAAGAAAAACTCGTGTTTGTCCTCTTTCTTTAAAAGAAAAACAAACTTGCCTCCAAGAACTTGTTTACCTCCAACTCACCACAGAGTGTGTGGTAAGAGGAACCCCCCGCTGCTTCCTCCATGCTTCTCAACAACCTTTCTATGTCCTTAGAAACCCTTTTTTTCTCCCTAATGCAAACCAGTTGTTTTGTTTTTTTGTCCACTGCTGTTCAAACAGGTGTCCAATTTCATTTCTCACGAGGGCACCTCGGCCTCTTTTCTTTTTGTCTCTGTATGCCTCCACGTCACAAAAACAAAGCCTCCTATCATCCTCACTGTTGCGGCGGTCTTGCATAATACCTTATAAGGACACTGAGTGGAAGATCAAAGAATATATAAACCTTAGAAATCAGGCCTGACGTTGTTCCTGGAGTGATGGACTGGCTTAAATCTCTTTCTCTGTCTGCTGCCTTGTTGAACCTGATTCCTCCTCATCCTGACAGCTAGTTTTTCACACGTGGAACAAGCATAGGTCTAGAGTAAAACATAAAAAAAACAATCATTGAATACCTACACTGAAAAAGGTTTTTACTTCAAGACTGTGAAGTCCATGCCTGATCCAAAGCTTTACAGTCTATCTTCTCAGTTATTAACACTGTCATTTCATGTCATTGTATCTTGTTCGATTTGAAGGACAGAACAGGAATAAAAACAAGTCGTGAAACTGGGGAGAAATAAAAGAAGGGAGCTCAAAAATGCACTGGAGAAGAAAAAGTAGGAGAAAAGGAAAAGGAGTGGGAGGTACAGAGAACAGGAGAGGTATGCTCCGCTGGAGGACTGGGAGAGGAAAACCGCAGGAAGGAGTGAGAGGGAGGGAAGTAAAGCGAGCGCACGAGAGAGAGAGACAGGGGAGGAAAAATAAAAAAATAAGAGAGAGGGAGAGGCCACATCGGGGCACCGTGGAAGCAAATGTTTCCTGTGAGAGGAGGACAAACTCTCATGTGTGGGTGTGTTACACCTGAGGGGAGGGGATAAACTGTGTGAGCATATGTGTGTGTCTGCTTTGCTTCATATATAATAGCGTCAAAAAATCGAACAGTCAAAGTGGGATTTGGATGAGTCTAATAACGATTTGTGTGCTGAGAATACACACAGCATCAGCAATCCAGTCTGAGTGTAAACCAGTACGTATTTCCATGCAAAAATGTGTAAGCAATGCACTTTGTGTGTATGCGTGTTTGTCAGCTTGCCTCCCTTGTAAGAATTATGGGGTTCTGACAGGCATATCTAACCACTGTGTGAGGACGCTCCTGACTTATGAGGTGTTTTGGATTTCAAACAAATGGGTTTAATGTAGGTTGGTTTTAAGCATAACTTTGTTGTTGAAGGTTTGAGGTACACAGCAAAATCTCCAGTGTTAAATTAACACTGGAGAGTGTCTATATGGGTCCACACCTCTGAGTGTTAAATTAACACTTTTGACGGCGTTATATGTTTAAAAGTAACCTAGTCAGTTTTGAAGATTAACAAAGACTAACACTGAGCAGTGCTGATTTTCTAACACTGGAATATTTCTAACATTTTGAGTTATTTTCCAGTGTTAGAAAATCAGCACTGCTCAGTGTTAGTCTTTGTTAATCTTCAAAACTGACTAGGTTACTTTTAAACATATAACGCCGTCAAAAGTGTTAATTTAACACTCAGAGGTGTGGACCCATATAGACACTCTCCAGTGTTAATTTAACACTGGAGATTCTGCTGTGTAGAGTGGTGCCATCTTTCAGTGAGGGACAGTATGGAAAGACCATACAAAGACCATACCAGTATGTACTATACTGTATAGGACAGTGAGTGCATGCACTAGTGCACAAGTATGTACATATGCTTGACTGTAAGTCTGCAAATAGTCAAACGATGTGTTTTTGTAGGCAGTGGAGGATCCATAAGTGGATCTGGGCGTGCTGCCCAAATGCAGGTCACTGAGGGGAAAAAAGGGGGTGGACCCGTTGGGAGGTTGGGGGCTCATGTGTGGTTATGAGCCATACACATGTCTACTGGTGTGACATATGGTCCTGAGTGTGCGTGCTGTTACAGTACCTCCAAATAGCTGTGTGCGTGTGAGAGAGAGAAGTCAACAAGGTTGCTGTGGAATGTGAAACTTAGTGTGGTGAGGTAGCTGGCAAGCCGACAGGAGGACCTAAACACTGACTTCATTGTGGTTTAGCCTCTGCCTTATATTATGTCGGGGGATTGTGTCGGTGATTGTGGAAGAATTTGCGGCGACAGCAAGTTTAGAAGTTAAGGAGGTGTACATGTAGCTGGAAGGTTTAATCCAGCCGGTGAAAGTAAATTAAGAATGCTCTTGCTGCCAGCTATCATTAAAGAGTCATATGGTGAGACACACTGTGGAGCTTTTGCAGTTGTGTCACAAAATGCACTTACAACCCACGTCTGGCGCCAGTTAGGAGTTCCACTGGAGGCAAACACTGACTAAATGCAGTTTAAATACTGTTGTCTTTGAAACGGATACCTGCAAACATTTCTGCACTGTGGGTGTAAGATTTTAAGTGAACTCTGCAAAGTAGAAATGTTTTCAAACTGTCTTTTTTGTAGGATGGGGAAATATTTTTATTTTACCATTGTCTTGTCTGTATGCTAGGGTTGCAATTAAACGCAAGGGCTAACAGTTAAGCCTGGTTCGGTCTTTTTTCTTTTCTTTTCTTTAAAGTAAACTTGCAATTAGCAACATATATATCAAAGTTTTGAATGAGGAAACACCTGGCAACTTGATGCACTATGGAAAGAAGGCAAGCTGGTGGAGGCAGTGTGTTGCTACGAGCAATGTTGCTGGTAAACCTCGGGTCCAACCATCCATGTAGATGTTATGTTGACACGTACCACCTACTTAACCATTACAGACCATGTACACGCTTTCATGGAAATGGTATTCCCTGATGACTGTGGCCTCTTTCAGCAGGATAATGCTGGAGCAAAGATAGTTCAGGAATGATTTTAGGAGCACAACGATGAGTCTAAGGTTTTGACTTGGCCTCCAAATTCCCCAGATCTCAATTAAATCAAGCATCATTGGGATGTGCTGGACGAACAAGTCTGAGCCGTGGAGGCCCCACCTTGCAATTTACAGGACTTAAAGTATATGTTGCTAACATCTTGGTGTCACATACCACAGCACACCTTCAGAGGTCTAGTGGAGTCCATGACTCGATGTTTGGAGCAAAAGGGGACCAGCACAATATTAGGCAGGTGGTCATAATGCTATGACTGTTGAGTGTATATCTATGTTATAGTTATGTATGTATAACATAGAGTAGATAAACCTCATGAACTCATGAAAGAATAAAGTTACGTTGAAACCAAGCACACCATTGTTTTTCTTGTGACATTACCAATACGTTTGATGTGTCACATGGCCCTCTTCCTATTGAAAAAACAAAAGTTCGATCCAAGATGGCCGACTTCTAAATGGCCACCATGGTCACCACCCATGTTGAGGAGTTTGCCCCCTCACATATACTAATGTGCCACAAACAGCACTTTAATATCACCAACCATTCCCATGTTATTACGGTGTATCCATATAAATGGCCCACCCTATATATAATACCAAATGTAATTCAACATTAGATGAGCTTTTTTTGACATCGCGTACACACTCCCACTGACACGGAGTGAATAACAGCTGTGGAATTCTCAGGTGCAAAAATGTCGTGTATTGCGTTGACTTTCCCGGCAGCTGTCAAGCATTTCACTGCGGGTTTGGTCCAAGAATTTCCCCTCTTTGGTTTTCTGCTGGGAGATTTTTTTTCTTTGCAGCACATATCTGCGTCTTGAGTCATTTAGTCTAACAAGAACCCATGAGTTTAGTCGTTGGCTGGGATAACTTTTGTCGCATGCTTCACCCAGAGTATCATACCATCAGAAGTGGAAAACTACTGAAAAGTCTAGTTTAGGCCCTCGAGTGTTCACCACAGAAATGCAGAGGATCAAAGTAACAGGCCCACATCATTATGATTTCCCCCCGGGAACTGAGCTACAACGAAAATTGACAACGAAAGAACTAAGCCCTGCTATTTTCAAATTGCCTTATTACAGAATACATGACCTAGAACAACTAACATTTGTAGGTAGTATGTTAATTAACAAGTATTCACAATTTAGTGAAGTGTCATCTAGACTAACTGTTACTATTACTTCAGTTTGTGGGATATTAAGTAGCTTTTTGTAACAGTTTTGTGACTGTCATTTTAGAATTTTTTTGGGATTATTGCAGAATTATTTCTCATTGCATCTGGAAGTCTAAATGTGGATGCTCTACTACTAAAGAGAGGAATATTGTTATCCAAATTCTAAGAGGGGAATGATAGCTGATGATACACCAGCGGATATCCGATGAAGAAAGATGTGTAACTCTGTACTATTTGTGTGAATGTTGAATCTCGAGAGCCTAAGAACCTGGGTCAAGAAAAACGGATGATTTTAGTCATACAACTCACTTTATTGAGTGAATTAATTGAATTAATCGTATCTTTTAACTCATCTGTAGCTGTAAGATGTGCAAAATTATTTTTTTATTTAATAACCTGTTATATAGTCGTCCGTTAGCACGGTGGTGTGAAAGAAATGTCTCCCTGCGTGTAAATGAGATTGTTTTGATTTGTGGGTCCCAGGTATTTCTTTCCCAGATGAGTCAGAGTCATTTCAGAGTGTGGGGAGTTGTGGTTAGCACCCACAACAGACTCAGTATCCCTGAGTGTGAGAGAGAGAAAAGGGAAAAGAAATGTACAGATTTATTCCAGGAGGTTATTAAAAAAAAACACATTAGTAAGCAAGTCCTAATAATAAATTTGCTTTCATTGCTCTTTACTGAAATAAAGACACTTTGTTTGTTAACTTGTTTGTCTGTTGCTAGGTGGGCAACAATAATCGGCGGCCATGTTGTCTGTGGATGAGCCACTGGACTTGAAGCTTCCCTCAGGTCGCACAGACGGTCCAGGGATACTGGGAAAGAGGAGCTGCCCGTCCTCTATTTGTGCCCACATCAGCATCAAACGACTGCGGCTACAGTGCACAACTTTTCCATCGCCTCCTTCTTCTCCAGGTACGAGTTAACCTGGTAAACATCTGGCAGTTTTAGCATCACCGAAATAAATTCTCCATCATTTCTACTCTCCTAAATACACACATGACATGACTTTGATATTGTCATGGCGCAGTAATTAAGTTTATCACTGTGGTAATGCAATAGCGTAATAGGTTGATTCTCTGTCCTCACTTTCCTGGTAACCTATTATTGCAAACCCAGTGAACAGTAGCTCATTTGTGTCCTCGAGAAGATTGTCCCCATTTTTGTCAGTGCAGCTCATAACAAGAGGAGTGTGACACTGATATGAAGTGACCTAAAAAAAATACAGCACCTCTGTGACATTCACAAACACAATGGACTTTGTGTCTTCATTCTTGTGTCAGCTTTTGTGCTCAGCATTACTGCGTTGTGTGCTTCCGTCTCTGTTTAACACAGAAACACTGCTGTTGCTATTGATTAAAGGACCCATGGACAGAAAATAGAAACTGAGATTACAACAAATTTAGTTGGTTGGTTTGCAAATATAGTCTTAGGAAGGTTTCTGGAGAGCTAGGCAGGTAGGACGGGCTGAGAGTAGAGGGTGCAGGCAGAGGGGCTGAAGCTGGGGTGAGTGGTGAACCTGGGACAGAGAGAAGAGATTTTGAGCTTCACACAAGGAAAAACTTAAGCCCATATAAATAATAATAAATAGTCCATATATCACCATATAAAGAGGACCTAATCCATCATTCACAATGGATGCCGTGACTGAACTAATGAACAATGCCAAGGTCATCCCTTCCATGTTTATGGAAGCTCTTGTTATTAAAAGTCTCATTCACCCAGTCATGCACACATCCATACCCAAGTGCCTTGTCTAACATTTGCACATACACTCAGACTCTGAAGGATGGATTGGGGGCAACTTGAGTTTCAGTATCCTGCCCAATGATGACTTCACACGCAGTCTGGGGTAGACTGGGAATTGATCCACCAACCTTCAAACTGATAAATGGCTTGCTTTAACTACTGATGACAAACAAAGGGCTAGTAGCTATTGTGTGTCCAGTATGGATGAAGCACCATGCACTTACATTAATGAGTTCTGTGTGATTGTTTCAGATAGCTGCGATAATAACAAAATGAAATGGCCTGGGAGTCGCTTTGTGCAATTTTTTATGCGACTTTCTTCGTGTTTTGAAAAGTGCCTCATGATTTATTTATTACTTTTATTGTGATTGTTATAAAATCTAAGAAGAAGAAAGAACAAAATAAGTCAGAGGATTATAGAAATGTTCTACATGCCTCAATGAAATTGAAAAGGTATATTTAAAATATTTTGAAACATATTTAAAAAGAGTGAGCAGGGGTGTTGCTAAGACCGTGGCATTACCTGCAAACAATAACGCGTTGGTAAAATTACAGGGACATTTTGTGAAATGAACCTCAGCAAAGCAAGAAATCAATGAATCATGATACTGCGATGGGTGTAATAAGGATCCTGCTTTATCTCTAATCTCTAATCTAGATTCCCTGTCTTCCTCTCAAGAACGACCTGGGTCCTGCTTCACCCCTCCAGCCATGGACCTCAGCCTGTCCCCCTCCTTGCGCCATGCCTCTTCTCTCTCCCCATCCCCTTCCTCGCCATCCTCCCTCTCTCCATCCTCTCCCATGGAGTCCCCTCAGAGCAGCAGCAGCCCTCAGCCACACCTCTTCTCTCGGGTGAGTCCATGTGTTTGCTGGAGTGCACTAATGCTACCGCTCCTTGCGTTGCTGCACTTTGCAATTAGTGTGCAAACACGAAAGTTGTGTTTTGCTTGTTTCATCAGTTGACTTGGTAATGACTTCAATCTCTTGTGACATTCCAGAGAGGACATGGGGATTAAAAAGATTTGAATTGAGTGGCTGGGTGCAGTATACTTAGCATGCAGCATCAGACCGAATCAATACCTTGTATTAAGACCCATTTTTATAACAGCAATTTGTGAGCAGTGTATCAAGCTTGAAAAATGATTGTTGTCAAAAACTACATGTCAATTTGCGAGTCTAGATAGCGGTTGCTAGGATTGTGTGGATAGCGTTTTAGTTTGTTTAAAAATTAACGGGAGAAAAAAATGACATCTTCTATGTTGCACATTTGTATTGCCAAACCTCTGCTTCGAATTTTGTTGACCTTGTTGATCTTGATTTGAGATATCAAAAATCCTGCTCTTCACATACAAGGTCTAAAATAATCAGGCCCCATCTTATCTTAATGACCTTGTAGTATCACCGTATTAGAGCACTTCACTCTCGCACTGCAGGCTTACTTGTTGTTCCTAGATTATTTAAAAGTAGAATGGGAGGCAGAGCCTTCAGTTTTCAGGCCCCTCTTCTATGGCACCAGCTTCCAGTTTGGCTTCGGGAAACAGACACTATCTCTACTTTTAAGATTAAGCTTAAAACTGTCCTTAGCATATAGTTAGGGCTGGATCAGGTGACCCTGAATCCTCTCTTGGTTATGCTGTAATAGGTGTAGACTGCTGGGGGATTTGCATGATGCACTGAGTATTTCTTCTTCAACCACCTTTCTCACTCACTATGTTCATAGACCTCTCTGCATTGAATCACAGTTGTTATTAATCTCTGGCTCCCTTTCACATCACGTCTTTTGTCCTGTGCTATTTTGCTCACTCCAACCAGTCGCAGCAGATGTTCGCTCCTCCCTGAGCTTGGTTCTGCTGAAGGTTTCTTCCTGTTAAAAGGGAGATTTTTCTTTCCACTGTTGACAAAATGCTTACTCATAGAAGGTCATGTGATTGTTTAAGATCTCAGATAAGCAGAAGTGAGGCCTAGGAAATGGTAATCATTTCCCTGTGTCAGCACACTGGTCGGATTAAAATGCACATGCCCCTGAATTGATGTCTTAAAAGTATCAAAATGGATGAGATATAAAAAAAAGATCACCAACTGTGAAGCTGTTGTGAATGTGAATATAATTTTTTTTGTACAGAGATGTAGTTGTTACAGCTGGATTTTGGCATTTTACAAATGGGAGCGGAACCCAAGAGGACATTAATAGAACAGCGGTTTTTGGGACTACTAGCACCTGTACAGCTCACAAATGAATATTTTACAAGCTAACTGGCTGCTGGCTATAGTGTTACCTTCACAGTACACATGTGAGTCACATCTGTCTCTCAGAATGAACGCATGTGAGCATGTTTCTAAAACAGTTCCTTTAATGTTTGTCCAGCTTTTGAAAAACCCAGGAATGTCACATTCCCCTAACCTGAGCGGGGTTCATTACAAACACATGTGTGTTGCACTCATTTTAAAGACGATTGCAAGAATAAAAAGAATAATAAAAATGTTTTACAAGCACGCACTCCAGGTACGTGTATGTATTCATGTAATCACTTAATCTTCTGAACAGGCATGACCACAATCTTAGAATTCTCACACCGGTGACTAATCGTGGCTGAATGCGCTCCATTTTTCTTCGGCAGGACTGAATAGAAAAGTGATCCAGGGAGTGAATCTAATTTGCCGGTGCAGCATCTGCACACAGCCACGCAGTGATTGTGTCTAAATCAAATTTTAGCTGTGCTTTAATGGTGAAAACATCAAACACACAACTCCTTTAGTTACGGCACAAAATCTCCCTTCTTGGACCAGATTTATCATTTAGCAGAGAAAGTCCTCATTTTTACATTATCAAGCCCTTTTTCATTGTCATCACTGGATTTGCTGAAGTGTATTCTATAAATCAAAAAACAAATGCAGACCTTCAATCCCCATTTAATAAACATACATGTCATGGATGCAAAAGCTCTTAAATCGTACTTTAACACACTTGAAGTAAACACGATCAGAAGGAGTACATTATTATTTCACAACCTTCCTCCATTTCCTCTGATAGTTGTATCTTTCTAATGATCAAGCTCAAAGTGGCAGGCTTTAGTGTTAGGTCAGCTTCTTTCTTCATCGTTAACGGTGAAGTAAATTAAATTAATTATTTTTCTTTTCTTGTGAATAGCTAATGAACATCTTGCCTTTGTTGCCACAAAATTCTCTTGCTCTGACCTCTCTCTATCCTCCTCTGCTTTAGGAATCACCTTTTCACCGAGGTGTGGAACCTGGTGCTTCACCACAGGGCTATCCATTTTATGTCCCAGTTAGAAGTCCACCAAGAAGCTACAGCTTTCCCTCTTCCATGTTCATCAGTCAGACTAGAGAGAAGCCGGTTTCTCCGGAACCCTCCATGGATGCTCAGTTGGCCTGTCGTTGGATGAAGGTACGTGTAATTAAATATTGTAGGTTTAGTTATACTTATATATTAGTTATATGTTTATTGCATGCATTTTAGCAGAAGCTTGAGTCATATTATTCCATCCATCCATCCATCCATCCATCTTCATCCGCTTATCCGAAGTCGGGTCGCGGGGGTAGCAGCCTAAGCAAAGAGGTCCAGACCTCCCTCTCCCCAGCCACCTCCTCCAGCTTGTCCGGGGGAATACCAAGGCGTTCCCAGGCCAGCCGAGAGATATAATCTCTCCAGCGTGTCCTGGGTCTGCCCCGGGGCCTCCTCCCGGTGGGACATGCCTGGAACACCTCGCCCAGGAGGCGCCCAGGGGGCATCCTTGCCAGATGCCCGAACCACCTCAGCTGGCTCCTTTCGATGTGGAGCAGCAGCTGCTCTACTCTAAGCCCCTCCCGGATGGCCGAACTTCTCACCCTATCTCTAAGGGAGAGGCCAGCCACCCTTCGGAGGAAGCTCATTTCCGCCGCTTGTATCCGCGATCTCGTTCTTTCGGTCACTACCCACAGCTCGTGGCCATAGGTGAGGGTAGGGACGTAGATCGACCGGTAAATTGAGAGCTTCGCTTTTACACTCAGCTCCCTCTTCACCACGACTGACCGGTGCAGCGTCCGCATTACTGCAGCCGCAGCCCCAATCCGTCTGTCGATCTCCAGCTCCCTTCTCCCATCACTCGCGAACAAGACCCCGAGATACTTGAACTCCTCCACTTGGGGCAGGAACTCATCCCCGACCCGGAGTGGGCACTCCACCCTTTTCCGGCTGAGAACCATGGCCTCAGATTTGGAGGTGCTGATCCTCATTCCCGCTGCGTTACACTCGGCTGCGAACCGCTCCAGTGCGAGCTGGAGGCCCTCACCCGATGAAGCCAACAGAACCACATCATCCGCAAAAATCAGAGATGAGATTCTGAGGCCACCAAAGCGAAAGCCCTCCGCCACTTGGCTGCGCCTAGAAATCCTGTCCATAAAAATTATGAACAGAACCGGAGACAAAGGGCAGCCTTGGCGGAGCCCATCACCCACCGGGAACGAGTCCGACTTATTGCCGGCAATGCGAACCAAGCTCTTGCAACGGTTGTATAGGGATTGAATGGCCCGTAGCAATGGGCCAGACACCCCATACTCGCGCAACACCTCCCACAGGACGCCCCGAGGGACACGGTCGAATGCCTTCTCCAGGTCCACAAAACACATGTAGACTGGTTGGGCAAACTCCCATGCACCCTCAAGTATCCTCGAGAGGACAAAGAGCTGGTCCAGTGTTCCGCGACCAGGACGAAAACCGCATTGTTCCTCCTTATCCGAGGTTCGACTAGCGGACGAACCCTCCTCTCCAGCACCCTGGCATAGACTTTCCCGGGGAGGCTGAGGAGTGTGATCCCCTGTAGTTGGAACACACCCTCCGGTCCCCCTTCTTGAAGATGGGGACCACCACCCCGGTCTGCCAGTCCACAGGTACTGCCCCTGATCTCCACGCAACATTGCAGAGACGTGTCAACCAAGACAGCCCTACAACGTCCAGAGCCTTCAGGAACTCGGGGCGGACCTCATCGACACCAGGGGCTCTGCCACCAAGGAGTTGTTTAACTGCCTCAGTGACCTCGCCCCCGGAAATCGGTGGGTCACACCCCTCATCCCCAGACTCTGCTTCCTCCCCGGAAGACGTGTCAGTGGGATTAAGGAGGTCCTCGAAGTATTCCTTCCACCGCCCGACAATTTTCTCAGTCGACGTCAACAGCGCTCCGCCAGCACTATACACAGTGCAGGTAGAGCACCGCTTTCCCCTCCTGAGACGCCTGACGGTTTGCCAGAATCTCTTCGAGGCAGTCCGAAAGTCTTTTTCCATGGCCTCTCCGAACTCCTCCCACACCCGAGTTTTTGCTTCAGCCACTGCCCGAGCCGCATTCCGCTTGGCCTGTCGATACCTGTCGGCTGCCTCCGGAGTCCCACAGGCTAACCAAGCCCGATAGGCCTCCTTCTTCAGCCTGGTGGCTCCCTTCACCTCTGGTGTCCACCATTTGGTTCGGGGATTACCACCACGGCAGGCACCAACCACCTTGCGGCCGCAGCTCAATGCAGCAGCTTCGGCAATGGAGACGCTGAACATGGTCCATTCGGACTCAATGTCCCCAGTCTCCCTCGGAATGCTGCATTCCGTGAGTCATATTATTTTGGCAGATAATATTATTAATCATGTGTCGCGCTTCAAACCCTACACTTAATAGCAGGCACAAGCAGTTTCTTCAATGAGGGTGAAAAAGAGCCTGCAAACATTACTCTGACCACTAAGTGGCGCTGGAAACAAAATATATAAAGCTGAGAGTTACAGAAAAAGAGGTCAGCGGGGATAAATGCTATCAGAGGTTACAGTATAAAAAAAATGAGTGTGGTGTGCGGTGTGATCTAGCAATAACAAATTAACCATTTTGGTGTGAAAAGGGATTTACTTTTTCATCTGTTTGTATAATTTTAAATAGATAAACTTTGTGTTTTTAAAAAAATATAGTTGGGTGAATTAAAAGGTCAAAATCAACCATTTCCTATATTATATTCTGGTGTTTTAAGAACTAAAGGATTAATAATTATGTATAAAAAATGAATGAAAAACAATGAAGTACCTTGATTAGGTAAACTGTACAAAACGTAACTCATATATCAGAACAACAGATGCTATGATTAATGGACATGCTCTTCAGTACGTCACACTTAAATTTATTACATACAGTAAGATCATCACGTCAGGCTAATAATAGCCAGAATCTCCCTTTTTGCTAGCAGCAGCAGTGTTCCTCAGAGTGTTTTCACCTGTTTTTTTATAGCTCTCTTACACCAAGCCACAGTTACCCATTAATACTCACATTCATACCGCACACAGAGCCATCAAAGTCACAGAAATGTATAGTTGTGTACTAAGACTAAGTTTGAAGATGGGATGAACCATAAATATGAAGCAAAGAAGAATAACTTTTTGTGATGATCAGCTTGCACACTTAAAGCTTGTGTCACACATTCATGGGGTTTGTGACTGTTGTGAATCCACAGGAAAAACTCTTTTAAAGATTTAGAGTTACCCATCAATAACATTATGTTTTTATGATGGCTTTATCCGAGCTATGAAATGATCTTTTTATACTTACACATACTTATTACCTGTCATTTAAACTGCAGTTGACTCTGCCAAAGTTATGTTTTTGATAGTGTTTGCTTGCGTGCCTGTATCATGTTATTATAGTTTGACACATGTCACATTTGACCTCTGACCTCACTTTAAATTTGGCATCTGCCTTTCCTTCAAGTAGACCCCAGAGCGTTTTATATCTCTTGATATAACCTCAAGCAAAAGATTACAAGCTGCCTATTTAGTTAGAAAGATACTCTCGTATAATATTATATAATAAGCTCAAGTTTATGTCCAGTTATTTACAAATCAATGCCTATTATCCACGACCTACTCCTACATTATATTAATTTAATTAGACAAAACATCTGTCATGCTACCTGATTTTTAGTGCAATAGAAACTTTTTAAAATAAATGTTTAAAATATACAAATTTATAGAAAATACTATTGCTGTGAAGAAGGACCACAAATGGACACACTGTATGGGTTTATTTTCCTTTTATTGCCATCACACACACTACTGACAGTCTCTTTGTCGTTTTTCCCCGGCTTGGCACCCACGCGAGCAGCTTCCAGCCACACTCTGACACACCTCCCCACTCTCTGCTCCGGCTTCACTAAAAATCAGACAGGAAAAGAGAGAGAGCTCATTAACTATAACACCACACACGTGTCCCACCAACCTCCCTGGCACTGCCCCTTGAGCTCACTGCACCACCCCTCCCCTGCAGCTGAGCCAAGGACCACACCTCTGCCACAATCGCCTATTGGTTTGTTTTGTCTAGGATGATTCTGCTTTTTCATTTTATTTTTTAATTTACATTAAATTTACAGATATAAAATCCATATCCTGGGACAATGCAGAAAATTCTAGAGACAGAGGCTTATTTTCTCTTTGAATCAGAATCAGAATGCTTTATTAATCCCTAAGGAAATTGTGTGGGTTACAGTTGCTCCAAGACAGTAACAGTAAAAGACGAAACTATTTAAATAATACAATATGTTACGGAGTTTACAAATTTAGGAAATAGCACCTACTGTACTGAACTGTGGAACTGTAGATACTTTGACAAAGGTTGCTTTTAATGGTATACTGTTCAAACATTTTCAATTAAAAAGAAAGAGTGACATAAGAAGAAAAAAACATCAACTGTTTGTGTGAAAGTTTCCTAAAAAGGTCACAATCAGGTTTCTTATCAGCCATGTGCTTCATTCCCTCTTTTGCCCTTCAGTGCCACCTGCTGTTCGATTCACTGCAGGACCTGGTGGATCACATCAACGACTTCCATGTCAAGCCCGAAAAGGATTCTGGATACTGCTGCCAATGGGAAGGCTGTGCTCGAAATGGGAGGGGCTTCAATGCAAGGTATTCTGTGGCTTTATTCCATTGTCATGAGGATGACACAAAGCATATTTCTCATAAAAATTATACCAGTCTCTAAGCAACAGGTGTTAAAAGCAATGTAATTTCCGGTACCCATCTGCGAGTCGCTTGGTACCGGGCCGCGACAGTTGAGGCTTGAGTGCGAAATTTATGGTTCTCAGGGTTTTTATTGGTTTTTAGCGTTGTTTTAATTTTTATCATTTTTATTGTTAACTCGGTTTCCCTGGGTCTTTTCCCGTATATCATGAATAAATCTTCTTTTTTTGGTACCAGTACTGATTTTATTTTGTTGTATTTATCCGCGACACATTAAAGCCAGTCTGTGAAAATATTGTTGGACATAAACTGGTCCGTGGTGCAAAAAAGGTTGGCTGCCTTAAGAAACAAAGAAATGAAAACATGCTAGCAATAATAGCTTTGAATCCAGTGTGACAGGTCATCAGAGCGAGTCATGATCTTTTCAATATAATGTCAAAATCAAATCACTTTTATTGTCACATCACATGTGCAGGTACATTGGTACAGTACATGTGAGTGAAATTCTTGTGTGCGAGCTTCACAAGCAACAGAGTTGTGCAAATACAATAATGTAAACAAGCAAAATACAAGAATGGCTACATCTGAAACTAATAAATGTAAGCATCATATGTCAGGCTTCCAAGATAAGACACATTTGAATATCAGCAGCCACATCCTAGGTAAAAATGCTGAAAAAAATAAAAACGGCTTGATCTTGATTGTAAATGTGTGTCTTATTTGTTATGATTTCTAGGTATAAAATGCTGATTCATATCCGCACACACACCAATGAGAAGCCACACCATTGTCCCACCTGTAACAAGAGCTTCTCACGTCTGGAGAACCTGAAGATACACACTCGCTCGCACACAGGTGAGTTCAGTCCCATCAAAACCAGCAATGACTTGAACCAGTCATTCTCAAACTGTGGTATGCATACCACTGGTGGTACGTGGGCTCCCTCTAGTGGTACACGGGAAGATTCCAAAAATATTTTAAGACTAAATAATATAGCATGTTCTGACTGAGTGATTTCTGAAATAATAAAACGTACAACTCTGCTATCACTTCTGTCATAAATGACAGACTTTACTCTAATAATGTAAAGAAGGAGCAAATTAAACCTTTTGAAAAAAAAGGAACGTCCCAGTGAGGCTATTACAAAAGGCGACCATTAAGGCGACCATGGTCAATGGCGACCATTGACCATTAAAAATAAAGTATTTTATATCTTTTGTTCTTATGCAGTATTTTATTTTGTTCTTTTAAAAAGTGTCACATCGGAATAACACTTTCTTCTTTGTTCCTTTCCTTGTTGAGCAATGACACACCATGAATCTCAAGAGTTAGAAACAAACTGACAACATCCTTCTCTGGCATTGTTCTCAAATCAAATCATTTCTTTCCCCTCCATTTCTCCTTCCTTTGTCCTTCTGTCTCTGACTCATATTTGTTTGTTTCTCTTTTCTTTCAGGGGAAAAGCCTTACATCTGCCCCTATGAAGGCTGCAGCAAGCGCTACTCCAACTCTAGTGACCGCTTCAAGCACACTCGCACCCACTATGTGGACAAGCCTTACTACTGCAAGATGGCAGGCTGCCTGAAGCGCTACACAGACCCCAGCTCCCTACGCAAGCACATCAAGGCTCATGGGCACTTTGTTGCCCAAGAGCCGGGGAGTTCAAGTAGGTCAGGGACAGGGCTGGGCCTTCCTACCCACCAGAGTGCCACTGAACAGCCCTCTGTAGGCGGGACTCCTGTCATCATCCCTGGGGCTGCTGCAGCCCTTCTTGGGGGCCTTGGGACGTCCTTGCCACTCTCTGCTTTCTGCCATGCCAGAGCTCTAGGCCACCACCGGGCACCGCTCTTTTCCATGGGTGGAGGAGGAAGCATGGGATCGCTCAGCCTTTCAGACTCCCCACTGTTGCGCTTTGGACTTTCAGCTGCGTCTATGTTTGGGTTGGGGGCTTTGGGAGGTCTGGGGCAGGTGGTAAGAAGGGAGCCAGAGGACGGGGAGGAATCAGAGGAAGGAGAGGACGGGGAAGTGCTGAACCTCTCTGCAGGGGTTGGGGTGAGACAAAGTGACGCTTTGTCTTGGGTGGTGGTTCCATCAAGGGCGCTACTCCTCAAACCAGCTGTTGTTAGTTAAGATGAACTGTCAGCAACTCAGAGAACCAGAGAGTTTGACTTTGTGTTTTTCCAGCCTGCCATCATCATTATCACCGTGTCTCATACTAACATTCTATCAGAAATCACTGGTAATGTAAGTGTAATAGTTTAAAAAAGTACATAACATGTGAGACTCGCTCTGGATACCTTGGTGCCACATTAAGATACACTGAAATGTCTTTATGTTGGCATATCATGGAAAATCCAGATAATTCTATCTACAGTCCCTCAGTGTATGCCTGCATCACTTCCTTTTGTTGATATATTGTTGCTCTTTAAAACAGGACGTTTACTTCCTCATTTATGTTGTATTAAGGAGTTAAACCAAAGGTGTAGATCTCTGTGAAGCTGGTGGCTCCTGACAAAACACTAGTATTTAATACCCGGGCATGAAACCTTATTGGTTTTACTAACATAATGCAGTGCATATGACTGTGGAAAGCTTTTGTGGGTGTATAAGGTTATAAAAATCCCTTCCACAGTTAGAGCCATGCAACAGTTCAGCCATTCCAACCAATAATAACTAAAGACAGACTTGAGTACAGTGGTCTTGTAATGAGCAAAACTTCAGCAGGGCCTTTTTGTACTGCATAACAGTTATTTTTTACACCATACATGCATTTAGCTGTCTTAACTTTGAGAAGGTCAGTTCATCCATATTGCAAAGAAAAGAAAAAAAGCCAGATCCTTAATCGTAGCATGCAGATCCACTTTATATTTTTTTTTTTCACATTGACCTGAGATACCTACTGAGTATCTCTATAGCTCTAGTTGTTATCTGGGTAATGTTAAATCATCAGTGCAAACAGTTTCTCCTGTTGAAATACTCCTAAGGATAGCAATGTTGTTTGGATAATTTCCTCAACCACTATAGCTGTTTGTAGTTATTAGTAGGCTTGATAAAAAGTCTCGGGCATTTAAAATTTGTTTGCTTTAACTGGTCTCTGGTTTTAAAACCCCAGATGATGAGTAAGAGAACCAAAGGTCAAAAAGTAAGTCCATATAATAGTGACTCATACAGTAATGACCAGGGAAAACATTGTGATTGCCCGGCCATCACGTATACCCACCTTCATAGTCTGTTTTACTCTAAATTAAACCACAGTTTACCAAGTTAATATCATGGTGAGACTTGAAACTGGGGCCTGAGATCATAAACCCACTAGGAAATGTTTACTCCAAAGAGAAACAAAACCACATCGCTGCACAGCTAAATAACAGAAGTTAGGGAATATGTGTAATCTGGGTGAACTGAGCCTTCATAAACCCATCTTTTTAATTTCATCTACAGCTTGATTTCCTAAAGGATTTTTCCACAGGCAAGCTCGTGGATTAAATTTACCAAAGCTGCTAAGGAAAAACAGCTGGCACCCCGGCCTTGTGTAGTTTTTAAGCTCGACAACCCCCACAGAGTGCTTCCATCGACTCAGATTGTTTCCTCAACAATAAAGATGTGAGGAAACAAGGATGTGGGGAGCAATAGGAAGTACAGTCCACACACCAAAACACACACAATTATGTAATATTAAAACATACAATACAGAGCTACCCTTGATACAGTTGATTTTATTTGAGCAAAGCTGTTTACACAATATTTATGCATATGAAGAGGAAATTATGTGTTTATGGAAAAGATTTTGCACAGCAGTCTTCTTATAGATTGTACTTAAGTCAGTTTGAAATCAAAATCTTTGACTCGGTCTGATCATGTAAAGGTTTCTATGGTTTCAGTTTGGTACACCAGTTGCTACGTGCAATATGTAGTCCTGGTATATCCCCTCACCTGCTTAATTTCCAAGCCAAAAGCAAACAGAATAATTGCCTTGCCTCCAACCCCCAAAAATATTGATTTAAAAATGCTAAATCACAAGAGGTCTCACGCTACACAGGACAATGTCAGCAGTTATCGCACTAATTTGCACATAGAAAAGTGCTCAGTGTTGCTCTCATATCTCCACTGCTGTTTATTTTAGCTAACAGTAAAACCTTGACTCAGACTTAGAACACAATGACGTGTGACAGATTATTTTCAACAAAAAGCTATGTTGACCATGTGATTTTTCTAATCGCAAGAAGAACGAACTAAAAAAAAAAAAAACGAAAAACAAACATATTGACACAAGTGAAGGTCAGAGCTCCTTCACTCGCAGATTATATTAGTTTAGTGTTTGTTGTACTAATCGTTTCAAGACAATGGTCTAAACAGGATCAGCCCTGCCTGAAGGAATAATTCTTGTGGGTAGACAAAGGTGTGTATATGGCAATAATAATTACACATTTGCTTTGAACAAATGTTGAGACATGGCATAAGTAGGAACAGAAAAAAAAGCAGTCTGTCCAGAGGCAGTGAAGGGGAAGTGTTTGACGATGGCCACACATGGCCAGTATCTGTGTTGATCTTGTATTCCTGTTTGCACATCCTGATCAGTATTTCAAAGGTGCCCCAGTAAGTGCCTTGTGTTTCAGCTAAAATATATCACTCAGTATATGGAACATATGTACTCAGCTGTAAAGTGCATATATATGCTTTTTTTTTTAAATTACATTTTAGGAAACGTTAAACTTTTTAAAGGCTTGACAACAGATGTGATTTGTACATCAGGGCGACTGCAACACCTTTTAAACACTCCACCAATGTTTACGACTATGGCAATGACTCAGTGTCAATAAATGCATTAAAGGAGAGAGTGTGACACCATTGTGTAATTTTTGTGCTGTGATGTTTTTTGTTTTGTTACTTTACAAGTTGAAAGACTACATGGTAGAATAAAGAATTGTAATAAATTAGGGTTTTTCTTACTGTGCGTGTCCACTCTTCTCTATTTGTGTTATGCCCACTCACAGTTAGAGTTTGCCTCTGCTGTTTCATTTGTTTGAGATTATGACATCAGGTAGCTTCCTTGTATACCAGCATGAATAGAAAGCAGGAAAAAGCAGACAAACAGGTATCTTCTTATCGATGTGAAAGAATTACCACGTGAATGTTACTGATAGCTCCGAGGAGAATCAGAAAATGGTCCTCTCATATCTAAGTGGGTTATAATAATATGTCTCCACATCTCGGGTGACATATTAACAATAAAACATCTCTGATGGGTGTTGCAATGGCATGCCTGTCACAGCTTTGGTTATAGTAAGGGCCCCTCTTCCCCTCCAGGTAGGTAATTGTTCGTAGGTGAGAAAGAAAATCAGTAAATATTTGACGTGTAAATACACCTTTGTAATGAAAGCCTTAGGTTTCAGCACTTGGAGAAGTAATACAGTTGTATAAGCATTGTAAACGTGTAATCTTTCTCTGGACTGAAGACAGTGGATTGGTTGCAACAAGTTTTATACCTCCAATCCAAAACCTCATGGGGTGATGACACTCAATCTGCAAATGCTCACTTAGACCCCTAGTCCCCACCCTAACCCTAATTCTAACCTTGATTGGACAGGCATGAACTGCCAGCCTGAGGAAATAGGACATTTAAATGCTGTGGCTGTGGTATATAACATTCACACACAAACACACAAAAAGAAAGAGGAGGGAATGGAGGGATGGGATTCCAACCAATTACTGGCTTATTGTGGTTAACCACAGAAGTGTCTGATAAAAATGTCATGGGAAAATCCCCCCAGCAGGGAAAAGTTAATTGTTGATTCTAAACGACCTGTAGGTGTTAATGTGAGTGTAAATCCTTGTCTGCGCCGAGTTAACCCTCCCCATTTCTTTAATTGAATCTATGAAAAATGCCAACAATAAAACAGTTTGATAGGCATAAAAATATTATTTCTGCACCAACAGGATGATCTCCAAAGAGCCATCACCTGAAAATCTAGTGGATCTCTGCATGATGTGGAACTGTGGAGGACAAAAGAAAAAGTGGTGTTGCTTAAAAACTACCTGCAATAGATGAATAGTATCTGAAATTAAGAAATTAAAGAAATCTACCAAATACCTGAAATGAGAAGCCTCATTAGAAATGGTCTCAGAAGGTTAGCTGTCAAGGAAGGTTAACATGGAGCAAAGGCTGAGGTTGCCAAATTACAATTGTTACGCCTCTTATCAAGGAGTGAAATCAGATTTCAGAATTTTGAGTCAAACGGTCATGAACTTATGAGGCGTACAACAGTGACTGCTGCATTTCAAGCCAGTGATGTTGGGGGATTTTGGCGAAATTGGATGGAACTACGAACATATACAAACAATACAATCTTATTGGTGATGGCTTTTGCTTTGGCATGACAATTGCCCCAAACACAATGCCAATTCAGTAAACATGTAGCTGTATGGGAAAACACACAGTGGAATACTATCAGTCATGGACTGGCTTCTCCAGAGCATGGAGCTCAAACTTATTGAAGCAGTGTGGAATCATCTGGACAGAGAACAGAACAAAAGGCAGCCAACACCCAAAGAAGAGCTTGGAATGTCCTTCAAGAAGCCTGGAAACTACTTAAAGAAGTTAGAAGAAAGCTACCTCATAGAGGTAATTAAAAAAAAGGGAAATAAGTTGTAATGCTAGTGATGTTTAATGCTTTATTATAGCACGTTAGCATGCTAATATTGGTGAATTACTAACAATAACACTTACAACAGAGTAGTACCTTTTGTTTTGTTATATTTTTTTTCAATATTTGAATGTTAATGTTCATAGTATAACTGAATAAAATCTTGATATGTTACGATAAAGATACTTAGTAAAATATGAAATTTAGCCTCATCTCTGCACACTGTCAGGCAATTTGTCAAAATGTTAGACAGACAGAACTTTCTATGTAGTTATCACACAATATAAAAATCATATGAAAAAAAGTGTTAAGATGTGGATTGTATTAAAATAAATATTACAGATGTCATGTAATTAATTTATCCTCAGTGCTTATTTTCTTAATATATTGTTTTATGTACTTTAATAATGAAGGTTTGTAAAGCAAGGCCACTTTTGACTCATAAACTAAGTGCTCAGCCAGACTGAAAAACAGGAAGTTAGTGTAGAGCTATACAAGTACATTAATAAATACAGGAAGCCAGACAGAAAAGAGGAACTTGTACCATATAAGGAGTCTTTGTATCAAAACTGTGTGACGTGTAAAGCAGGGTTTTAATAGTTTTGCAATTTTCATTAGTTTTTATTTTTATTTAGTTTTGACTTCAGATTTTATATCAGTTTTAATTAGTTTTTACCAATTGTTTGCTAGTTTAGTTTAGTTTTTTTTTTTTTTTGAAAAACCTTAGTTTCAGTTTAGTTTTGATTAGTTTCAGTTATAGTTTTAGTTGTGTTTGCAATAATTAAGTGTAACAAAATCCCAGTTTCATCATATCAGTCATGCTCTTCTGCTTATCCTTGGGTATGTTGCTATTCCAGCTACCATATCCTGCACCCTGGACAGGTCAGCTGTCTGTCGCAGGGCTAACACGCAGAGACAGACAACTCACATTCCCACCTATAGGTTCTTTAAATAAATAAATAAATAAATTAATTAATTAATTAGGGCAGATGAACAACCATTGATACCAGGCAACTATAAAATGTATATCTTGGCCCCAATGAGACTATTAACTTTTGCAGCATCGGGTGTTCGTAATTTTGGTTCAAGTGAATTGATAAACTTTTTGAAGGCAATTGACTCACACAGTTGTGTAGATATCCCCGTCCTGTTGTCTCGGGATGCGTCACACTGCCTTGTCTGAGGTTAGCTTCTGTTTTCTGGGGATGAGGGTTGAGTGTACTCCCTTACCTTTTTCAAGGTAAGCTAGGCTAGCCTCCTTATGTGAGCTTTTCAAGTGCATTTTAAGGTTTGTGGGATTTTTTTCCCTACACTACAATTATGCTTTATCCAAAACACAGTCATATTCAAAGTAATCCCAAATTGGACTTTGGCGCTTTCTCCCGACTTTTCCTGACATGAATCTGCGTGTGGACAGAGCAGCAACACAGACGACTTGACTAATGTACTGCCACCTGCTGGCATAATGAGACACAGCAAGAAAAAAACCTGGAAACTAAACTTCATTTTCACCCTTGACTATTGTATGACACACACACATCAACGAAAACTAAACACATTTTTGCTATAAATTCAGTTAATTTTAGTTAGTTTTGTGAACACTCATTACAGTTTTAGTTAGTTTTCCTTTTTTCGCAAAGTCTCGTTTTTATTTTTATTTCTGTTAACGAAAATGTTTTTTCACTTCTAGTTTTCGTTATTTCGTTAGTTTTCGTTAACGATAATAACCTTGGTGTAAAGTACCAAAATAACACCTATATGTGAGACGTTTTTAAATTCTAATGTTAGAGTTTCTGCAACTCGCTTTTGGGGCTCTCTCTTCCGGAAGATGATTGAATAAAAAGAAATATAAATGTTTTGACCACTATGAGTCGGTTTTCTCTGTTCTATCAAGGGGATAAAAGAATTGGGTTTTAATATTTGGTGTTTCTGCCTGGTTCCCTTTGCAACAGAGAGAACAAACGTGGCCGAAGGTTGGATCTGATATGAGGTGAACATGAGATTTAAAGATTTAAAGGTAGGCACAAACCTGTTCAAAGAAAAAGCAAATCTGTGCATATTGGATGAATTCAAAAAAATTTGGGTTAGCAAACCTGGGAAAGAGAAAACTGACTGCTTAAGTGGGAAAATTGTGAAAAGAAACATATACAGAAAATGTATTAACCTTACTAACACTTACAAATACAAGAGAGCTCATGAAGATTGGACAGCATCTTGAGCATGTGAGTCTGTTTATCATCTTGTCCAAGTCACTTAGTGTGAAAGGGAAAAAGCGATTAAAGCTTAAAGTAGTTTTTAGAATACTGAATTAGAAGTGCTCTTGTACAGATTGATCAAAACAAGTGATTACTGTAGAAATAAAATAAGATAATTCAATAATGTGGTAATGTTTAAATTAGAGATGGCACGATACCACTTTTTTATGTCCGATACGATATCATAAATTTGGATATCTGCCGATACCGATATGAATCTGACACAGTGTTTTTTAATCAATAAAACAGTTTTTTTAATATCTTACTGCATTTTGTATAAATTCATACTCAAGTTTAAATAGACAACACTAAAGCTATTCTGTTATACCTGTGTGTAAAAAATACACTGCACCCAAAATATTTCATAGTTCAGCAATACTGATCAATCTAATAAACTTAAACCTACTCCATCCTCCCTATTCTGGTATTTTAAAGAGTACTTAGCAGAAATATTAAGCAACCTAACTAATAGGGTTGCAAACTCCCAGCAAAAAATAAAATAAAATAGGGAACCACCCTCCACCTCATGATGCTTAATCGACGTAATCAACTTTAATTTGATGCAGTGTGAAAAAAAATGCACAGAAATCAATTATTTTTCAAGAATAATTAAATAGATTCAACATCTTTCTTCAACAGAACTGCAGACTGCACAGATGGTATCTTCCCAGAGGAAAAAGTAATATAGCTTACTAGGGTGTATTAGACTTAACAGCAGACAGTAATGAACTTCTATACATTTTACATCAGATTAAAACTTTGGGTGTAAGATTCAGATAATTATTTATTAAAAGCTAGACATTTTAAATGAGAATAAGAAAGAAAAGTATGTCTTTGTGCCCCTTTTCCCTGTTAATGACCTATCGGCCCCCCTGGCTAAACTTTGCTAGATCCGCCCCTGCACAGTTACCAGCTGTCAGCTATGTAGAAAAAGATCCTCGAGTAGAAAGTAATATTAAATAAATTCTAACAACAGCTTATCAAGCTTAAATGTGCTGCTGTTGTTCAGCCGCTGGTTTCCTCTTTCTGGTGCGAAGTGGGCGAAAAACAAACAAGAGAGACGGACTCGTGACAGAAAAGCCGATCAGCTGATCATTAAGCAGTTTCATGATTGAAGTAGCAGCAAGAAGAGGCAGGGAGAGAGAAGAGGCAGTCGCTCCATATATCAGTTGTTAAGCTTAACGTGGGAATGCTTTACAAACATTCAGAGATGAACTTACACACTTGCTTTACCTCTCTCTGGGATAACTTCCTCGGAGATGAAATGCTGGTTTGGTAGCGAGGCTACAAACCAGCATTTCATACAAATACACGCAGTGCTGTATGTGATGCATACTGCTCCCACGTGCTACTTGGGTTTCCTGTCTGACTGGATGAGTGAAGCTTGCACTGAAAGAGACACTGTGACTGTGTGAGAAGAAAGGCTTGGTAACATACAGGATAATTAAATAAAGTGGTCGGGTCTGTGACTAAGTGCAGTAGTCCAAATTTGGAAAAGAAATTTAGTATTTAGGGATGATAGATTGTTATAACGTCTTTAGAAAAGGCTTAATGAGAATATCAATAGTGTGCAAACTGTGTGGCGTTTAACAAGATTTTCTGTGTATTTAGGTGAAATTATGTCAGTTGACTATGTCCACTGTGAGCGACCATCTTTGAACAGAGGCGGGGGTTTACGACACCAACTCTCTGCCATCTATAATCCAGTTTTGAGATCCCTTCCCAGACGCCTTAACGCCCACTCACATCCTGGGCCATCTGACCTCAGGAATTCGCATGATAAGGTGGGGCTAGGTTTCACAATGAACACACCCGAAACTCTGGCTGATTGGGACCCACACCCAGTTTCACACCTTGGCTCAGGCGATTAGAGGATCATCAGGGGGTCCTTTTGTCTCTCTGTGGGGGGTTACTCCCACTAGGTTTATATCTGGGACTCTCCACCATGGACATGTCTACACTGAACAAAAGGCCATGTTGAATTTACTTGATTCAATAGTGGACATTGGTTGCACACAAATTTCTTGCTTTGGCAAAAACTTAAACAATTGAGTTAAATCAACACAGCTTTTTCATATGTAATAACCATGTGCATTTTGTGTTCATAAAACACGATTGAAACATGTTCAGATGATGTAAGTTGAGCTCTTGGAATATTTTAATCCTTCACAATTTTGTCATTTTATTTTAACACTATTCAATAACTTTTACCCCAATACTACTTGGTCACTTAAATACTACATGTTGTCTTCATATTACATAATGTTCAACAAAGTTTAGAGTCTGGTTACCATAAAAATTGAATGGATCTACAATAGCTACCATCCTCCTAACCTTATTCTGGTGCAGGGGGGCTGGGAAATAACCCTGAAGTGATAGGTTACAAGGCAGGACAGCTCACAAGTCTATCACAAACCACCATTTGCACTTACATTCACAGGTAATTTAGAATCACCAATTAACCTAATTCTAACAACTGCTTGACTTTTAACTCTGGGACAAAAAACAGAATACCCTGAGAGAACCCAGTGCAAACTAGCCAGATTGTGGATTTGAACCCAGGACCTTCTTAATGTGAAGCAACAGCACTAACCACCACGCCACCAATCCAGACTTAACAAAAGTAGGAAAGCTATGATTTCAAGGCTTGATGCAGAATTCTTTTGTACGTTTTTGTCCTTGACAGGTTAAACCACAATAAATAGCAATAGCATACATGTGGTGTGTGTGTAGTTGTCTGCCTCTTATAACTCCAGTGGTTTTCCTGCAGTTTGAAATCTCGTGCGATCTTGTGAATTTCATGAGTTCAGCAACTAACCACTCTTACTAGATTGTATCAGGTCGTCTCAACAAGAACAAATTAAGTTGTTGAATTTCGTACAGATTCTTCATGATTTAATTACATTCATAGAAACATGAAATTATTGTGTTTAAATTACAAGTTAGACTTTTTTAATGCAACAACCACCCAATTTACTTAGAGGCGGCTGCTCGATTTGACTGAGATGGATGCCTTCCTGAAACCACAATCCAAAGCGTGCGAGACTGAAATCCCGTGTGGTGTCGCAGTAAGTTATTGACTTACTTCACTCGAACATGATATGAACAATTTAATCTAGCCTCTCTGCATATCATGTAGTTTCTACACTATATAATTACACTTAACTTTAAAGCATGAGGCACTTATGTTAAATACACGCAAGATGCTTACGTAAATCCAAGAGTTGGCCAATCCCTTTTTTTCAGTGTATAACGGGGCCCTTTAACATTGTGACAGTGCACTTAGAGAAAACCTGGCAGGTGATTTTGTTTTGTGCTTGGATGAGCTACTAATCGGCTCTCTTTTTCTCATTTTTGTTCTAAGAAGGCCTGCAAGATTGAATTAACAGCGCTGTAAAAAATTTACGGGAGAACAAATAGAAGGTGACCTTTTCCAGATTACAACTAGTAGTCCATGTCTGTTGCTGTAACAGTAGTTCATGTTTAGAGTAAAACATCCCAGCTCACTGATTTGATCGGGGCAATAGTGTGCCTAAAATGTTGCATAATTTTGCTGAGAGATCTTTTACTTTGTGGTAATCTTAGACGAGTAGTTTTATGGACAAAAACCACCAGGTCATTCAGTGCGTTCCCTTAGTGCTAATGTATAAGAGATGTTGGTGTAGTATAACTGAAGTAATGTTGTTAAGTCCTTAAAGTCATATTCTTTTATTGTCATGACTGTATTTTAAGGTATTTTTATTTTTGTATGATATCTGATTTATATGGAATATGGTTGAAGTAAACTAAAGTATAAAATACTTAGTCAGTCATTTGTTTAATAGTAACTTAACATTATATAATTCCCATATAAAACTATGAATTGTAATTTTAAATGGTTTAAAAGCATGTAGAATAACATATGTAGGCAAGTATATTTCTCCTTTTTTTTTTATTAAGAAGCAAAGACGAAAAGAAAAAAAAAGAAACAGGGCAGGGTTCGGTGGTTCCGTCCCCAACAATGCCAAAACCAAATCTACGCCCTTGTACTGAACAAACACTAGTGTTCAAACAAATAGAACATACACAAAAGAATAGTTGTGCAATTCAAAGATGCTTTGAAGTCAATGTTTATTTAGGTATTCGCGACCCGATTTTAACCTTAAGTCTTCAACACAGCCCGAGCTGTCTTAGGCAAGCTTTCTTGAAATTTCTTTATGTAGTGTTAAAGAAATTACAAGAGAGTAGTTCTCCGGGCTTCTTGGTGGCTGGGGTTAGGGTAGGAACCACAGCACCTCAGCCGTTAAAAGGCAGTTGACAGTGCCGGTGTAGAGGGTTAGGGTGTAGAGTGCTGTGCGTAAAAGTTGTCAATACTCGGCTGACTCCTTCAATATTAAAAAGAATGCGTCTCCTCCCATGCGCACAATTTTTGTGGTTAAGACCCTTCCTACTCCCATAGACATCCATTTTAATACCATAAAAGACCACATGCAGTAAATTTTCAGATTACAGTCAACTTGAGTGGAAAGATGAGCTGGTTCTAATTAGGGGAAAATTACAAACTATAATTCCCCCCCCCCCCCCCCCCCGTCCCGTCCCGTCTCTCTCCTCCCCCTTTTCTCCCTCCCCAGTCTCCTCCTGCGCTCCTGCGCCTCCCTCCTTCTCTCACTTATCCTATATCACACACAATGAAAGGAAAAAGACAAAAAGAAGTCGCTTCATTCATTTATCTGGAAACATTAATGGATAGAACACCTTAAGTGAGCCACTTAAATAAATAATCGCTGGATTTTGTGGCTGAAGCGAAGAAGAAAGAAAGAGAACAAGGAATCACGAAAAGAAGGATCGGGGCCGATCATGGGAGATTCCGACACTGGCTCAGGTGCAAATGGAACGAAGAGGTAAGAACTTATCAAACTGCTTCCAAACCAAAACTCAGCTTTGGTTTCCTGAAAAGCAGCAGCATGTAAAGGCTCTGAATTCATCATTCTGGGACGCATTAGTCGCTATTCTTTAGCTTTCATTCATATTTGATTCCATTTTTTGTGATGAAAAAAGTGACAAGATCAGTATTAAAAAGTTTAACTGATTAAACTTAAATGTTAGCGTTCGGGGAGAAGCTGACTTATGCGATAATATAAGCTATACATTTTCTCTACTTGAATACTGGATACCTGACAGACAAAACTCATTAATTGAAGTCACTTTCAACTTATTTAAAAGCAAGAAACAGTTTCGGTGTCAATGAATGATTAGAAAACAAAACAAAACTAACAAACAAACGAAAACTAACATTTTTAAAGATGTTATTTAACGTCTTTTGTGTGTTTTATTGTTGATGGTGTGTTAACGCTATTGTTCTTCCTGGTAAGTTAGACAAAGTTGACCGTCTTGTTCTGAGCAGGAAATGATTGATGATTAATGATTGGTGACTTGCATCTAACTGATTTTTCATGGCAAGTTTGTATACACATCAGTATAACAAAACATAGTGAACACAATGGGTAGACTATTAAAATGCAATTTGTTTAATCAGTCTGTCTGACAGAACAAAATAAATAATAAAATACAAAAGGCAGTGTGCAAATAAAACATTCCCTGAACTCCAATGCTGCGCATACGGAGTCTTTACTATCCACTTGGCTTGACTTAAGTACAATGGAAAACTTTTGGGGAATTAGAATTACAGATATGAGCAGTATTACTTGAGAAAAGAAAACGAGTCAAACTGGTGTGGCTCTACTGCTGTGGAGTGAGGCAAACAGGTTTGGTGAAACAGAAACCAGTGTTTAATCGTATAGGATTATAGGCCACAGCAAATTCAAAAGTGTCAAATGTTTTGGTGTTAGTAGACTTCTTGCAAAAGTAGAGTTAATTTTACTCTAAGTAGAGTCACATTCTTTTAATGTAACTCTGAGGTGTAAAATGATGGTAGTTAAAATCGAGTGTTAAAAATGAGTGTTTCTATGTCAAATCTGGAGGTGTTACAATGTTAACATTAACTCTTGACCTCTTAACTCCGAACTCCTAGAGGGGCTATGACACTAATAGAGTAAATTCACAGACTCCGCCCGCAGTACCACAGATTCTGATCCAAGCTGAAGTGAAGCCGTTTCAGAACATTTTGCTCTACATATTTCTGAGTTGTTTGCTATGCTTGGTAAGTCGTTTTTTTTGTGAGATTGTTTCAATTATTATTATGAGCTTTTACTTCTGTGGCTTTTTGGAGTTGAGACAAAGCTGTGTGAAAGGCATTAGCCATGTTGCTCGGTGATAGCATAATAATCTGTTTTAGCTAGCTGAAATATATTGTCTGCGGGCAAATAGTACAGCCTTGAAAAAAAGCTTGCATATGAATTTTCAGTCAGGTTTTTGGTTAACTTAAATACACCTAAAACAATATCTAGATTGTGAAATGTTGGTATAATGGTGCTACTTCAAGCCTGAAAACGATCTCCCACAAAAAACAACCGAGCAAACAGCAGTTGCAGACGTCCTGACTGGGTTGTACGTTTAGATCCCTCCAGAGTTTTGTGCACACGGTTTAGGTAAAAATGAAAAAGATTGAGTTTTTAAATTTAGTTCACCATTAACTGTAGTCTGTGTTCTTCAGTTGTTTGAGAGAGCACCATTTCAACAAACATGTTCGGGTAGAATATTGCCTTTAAATACAAGTTACAGCTCAAAAATGATTTTTTTTTTTTTTACTGTGCTTCAATTGATTACCAGATTATTTGTGCAATTAATTAGTGCACAACTAATTTTTATTGAATCTCCACACAGGATATGCTTGTGAAGGTGGAATATGGGGGAAAGCAGAAGTGATGAATGGAGGACATTCATCACTTCCTCCATTGAAGGAAAGAACAATGAGCATGCTGTTGCATTTATCTATGTCAGAGCATTTGATAAACAATATTCTAATGAAAGTGAGAACATGTACATTGCTCCATATTGTTACATGTTTCAGAAAATGTTTTGAAATTGTAGTGCACAGTTCAAAAATAAATGTTTTTCAAAAACCATTGCCTCTTTGTAATACATGTTTATTTCCAAAGGAATTTCTAGAAGTTCAGAAGAGTAAAATTCAAACTTTTAAGAATTAATTAGAAGATCTCTTATGTAGTTAAACTAGAATACTCTGAGAGTTAGTATATAAACTCTTAACACCTAGTTAGCATTAATAAGTGTTAAATTATCAACTCCAGTTGATAGATGGCATCTATTGTCACGCAGCATACATTAAATAAAAATGTTGAGGAGGCAGAAAAATACCTTTTGATTCCTTCCTCCAGATCACCATTAACACTACTATAACAATACTAGAAATAATTTCTGAAGTAATTTGGAAACTGCGTCAACCTCAGAAGTAGCAAAAGCACAGACTTTCTTTACTTAAGTAGAAATAGAGATACCTAGGTTTAAAAATACTCCAGTCAGATTAAATGCTAATTCAGCTCTGTTGCACTAGGGATGGGTACCGGCACCAGTTCTGACATAAACGGTAGTAACCAGACCGAAAAGCAGCACACATTTTTGGTGCTTTTTTTTCCTGAGATGTCATACACTTTGGATTCTAGCCAATCATTTTACCTTTGCAAGCGTAGTAGGCGGGCCAAGGTACGTATGTTCTTTTAGAGCAGAGCTACAGATTAAAAATGCCCAAGGTGAAGCGGTCAAAGTCTGGCTGTACTTCACAGCAAAAGATGCAAACTCAGCAGCCTGCAACAAGTGGTATTATGTTGATACGGTGATACTGTGCAAAGGAGGTAACACCTCGAATCTGATGAAACACCTGGTGACGTATAGCATTTTTTTAAAAGCCGAGAAATGCGCCGTATTTGATAGCTTGCTGCAGGACCTCACACTGAGCACATCTACCGCGGGTGTGGTGCCTGTTATCGGACCCGGAGTTAGCAACATGAACCCAAAGAGGAGAGTCCTGGCCCCTAGCCCTGCCAGTGTAGCAGAAATGATGACGGATGATGATGGCAGCAGCAGCCGTTCTTCTCTGGGTCAGTAGCTTAATGTTGTTCGTGTGTAACCACGTTAATAAATTAATGCATGTAAGGTGAACTAGCAAACACTGTCGTAGTTACATGTGGCTGTCTTCTTGTTTGATGGCAGATACTCCCTTCACCCTGGCCAAAAAGGCTAAAATGACCAAAGAAAATGTGGGAAACAGCTAAACATGAGAGGTTTTTGGATAAAGTTTGTGTTTTTTCCATTGTTTAAGCACTGCTTCCAGCCAAGAGTGATACCATAAATCCCCTATAGCTGCAGAAAAGGCCAACATGAGAGGTTTTGGACAAAGTTTGTGTTCTTGATTCTTTAAGCACCGGTTCGAGCACCGTTTAAGCACTGGCACCATTTCAAAAGTACCGGATTAGGACTGGTATCGGATAAAACCTAAACGATACCCATCCCTATGCTGCACTGTGCACCAATCCAACACAGTGCTTTACTGTGAATCCACCACACCAATTCAAATTAAGCTATATATTTATATACATAATATAACTACCCACTAACATGCAACATTTGAATAACAGCTAACAGGAGTTAGCACAGCTTAGCTTTATATAAAACGTGATAATATACGTAATTTATCAATGTGATTGATAATGATGACATCATATGTAAGCTTTAAATTTGCAGTTAATTTGCCCTTACCTTTAAATATAACCTCTCATCTTCCTCTCCTGTTCTTTCTGTTTTCCTACATCTTTCTCCATCTCTGAGTGAAGTTAGTGCTCTCTCTTTTCTTTCCCTGGAAATACAGCAGCTGAACCTTTACCTGGCAACACACTGTGTGACAAAATGCAGACAAACAGTTTGTGTGATTGTTGATGTTTGCCTAGCTGATAGAAACATTACATTTGAAATGACCTAACACTTAAAAAATGCCACTCCTTTCATGCTTCCCCCCTTCTGTAGCACTAGATTCTGATGTATCACAAACACAACATACTTAGACCTACACTCCTTTCCCCCACTTAAATTCCCGAAGTAACAAGTCTGTTAGAAAATATAAGAAGTGGAAAGCATAAATATTTATGTAAAAATGTAGAGAGTAAAGAAAAAAGTTGTCAGAAATTAAAATACTCAAATAAAGTACAGAATCCTAAAATTTCTACTAAAGTAGAATAACGTAGGTATTTGTACTTTGTAACTTTCCACCTATGGTCACCATTAGATGTCACAAAGTGTGGAGTGCAGAGATGAGAACTCAAATGCAAATTTCACAACACACATTTAATAAACAAAATATGAAGCCCTACAGGTAATAACAAGTTCAATAGCTCAGAGAGAAAACCTCAGAAAAAGTTTCACACAAGGCATTGGTGACAGAAAATAATCTAAACAGGCATCCGTGACTCAGTTTCAGTGCTATCATTACAAAAAAAAAATGTGGAAAATCTTTATAGACCCTTTGATAAAACCTGCGCAAACAATCGTTTTCCAACAAAGGTCAAAGTGACTTCTGATGAAACAAAGAAATGGCCTGTTTTTCAAGTGTTATCATGACTGTATTATCTGCCTCCAGGAATTTGTTGCCATTTGTGAGTCCTTATATTGATGCTATAAATATTGTTCCCTATACTGAGGTAATGATTGTTAATCTTTCACTGATAAATTCAAAAAAGTAGCTGGAAACATTCAACAGAAATTGGCAGTACTAAAGAGGCTGAACACAATAGCTGTGGGCTGTGTTCACCTGGATTGTACTTACATCATTAAGGAGGTGCATATCAAGTTGTTCCATAGGTTATGGCGCAGGATTTCAGAGGAGTGTTGATATGGTGCAGCTTTCCCACTGAAGCATAAATCTTCAGTATCAGTGAGCTTAGAGATTTTCAGCTCTAACTCAAATGTTGTGAAGCTGTGCACTTTGTTAACAATGGCAAAGAAAGGTGATATAACTCACCACTTTTATCTTTCTTGTCTTTTTAGGGAACTTGTCCAGAGCATCTTTCCACAGAAGAAGATCTTATTTCATTCCTGGTTTCAGCTCCTGCTTCTATTTTGTGTTTTGGCCTTAGGCTTGTGTTACACCCTGTCCAGCCGCCCGCTGTCACTATGGCAGAGCTTCCCACTGCAGGAACAATACCAGTGGTTTTTAAACCAGAACAGTAGGGTTAATGCACCTGCTTACCGCATTCATCCCAAAAACAAAGTTATATTAAACAAAACCACTGAACCTTCGACTGTGCGATCTACCTCCCTCCAGTACCACCAAGCCTATCCACGCAACTACCATTTTCTTATGGATAACACAGAGGTTTGCAAGAACAAGATCCCATTCCTGGTTCTCATGGTTCCAGTGGAACCAAAAAATGTGGCAGCTCGGGACGCGATCCGCCAGACATGGGGCAAAGAAAACATAGGTTCAGGGTGAGGTGGTACTCACTTTATTTATGTTGGGTGTCTCTAGAGAAGATGATGTTGAGAAGCTCAAACAGGAAAATTTGCAGCACCATGATCTGATCCAGAGTGACTTCACAGACAGTTATCTAAACCTAACAATCAAAACCATGGTGATCATGGACTGGCTAAGTACACACTGCCCTGCAGCAGCCTATGCCATGAAGATTGACTCTGACATGTTTCTGAATGTTGACAATCTAGTAATCATGCTAAAACAGCCGGGCATCCCCAAGACCAACTACCTGACAGGGATGCTTATGTGGAACAGACCAGTCATTCGTTCCAAGAACTCCAAGTGGTATGTGCCTGAGGAATTGTATCCAGAGCCTGAATACCCGACCTACACACTGGGTATGGGATATGTCTTTTCTAATGATCTTCCAGAGAAATATGTGGAAATGTCAAAGTCAGTCAAACCCTTTAACATTGAGGATGCTTATATTGGGATGTGCATGAAAAAGCTTGGACTTGCCCTCACAGCACCACCAACACCCTCCCAGTTCAAGGCCTATAACTATGCATATAATCGCTGTGAATTTTCCAAGGTCATTACATACATTCTTGGTTCTTCTAAACAGCTGCTGGATTATTGGACAGACCTGAAAAAGCCTGGGCCACCTTGTCCTTAACACCTTAGCTTTATGCTAGAGTTTTAATGTATTTATAGATTGTTATAAACTACCGAAGTTATTTATTTTTTTAAATGTGATTTAGAGTTACTTGTTTGGAAAGGTGAAGGTGAACAATTGCTTCAAGGTTTTATAGGTTTACCAGGTCTCATTGGGGTGCACTTTTACATGTGTGATTATTATGTGAGAATGCTGAGGTTACTTAAATGCGTTTACAAATAATACAGTTGGGGTTAAACATTAAATTGACTGCTAATGAAAGGTGTAAATATTTTAAAAGATTATAAGGTTTATTTTACATATTAAAGTACATTTAATTAAATGGACTGTTCTTATTCATTTGAATGTAATGAATATGTTTTTCCAAAACCTCAACCTTTCAGTGTTCTCTTGAATGTTGTGAGAAACGCCATTCACATACTAGAGTCTATGATAATACCACAGTAGAGCACTGTCCTGTTTTGTTTTCTATCACTGGCAAATCTGGGATCCTTAAAAGCCCTTAGAGGACAGTTTCTGACATACAGAAAGATACTAGTTACAGAATCCATATTTCTCTATAGTGCCTCAGATTGTTTTAATCTGCAAAGCAATTTCAATTCTTTTAGACTATTTCTTTATTTCAATTGTATTCATCTCTCATTGCATACATCTGTTATGTTCCCATTGTGTCCTTATCTCTCCCACCAGAAATAAGACACACAGACAGCAAAGACTCAAAACAGCCAAGGTTCACTGCACATCTTAACCTCCTAAGACCCAAACTCTTCCATGGCATGCATTTTTAATTTCTCTTTGGTATTTGGGCATATTGGGATCCGATGAATGTAAAAACAAAGAATTACCAGATTTTTTTTAAACTGAATTTTTGTTTCTGAGAAAAATGAGAGCCACATATGAGGATATTTGTTTTAAATTTTGATGAAACAGAGGCAGTATAATGTCCTCATAAGTTGATATCAGGCCCTTGTAGAGCAAAATTTAGTGATTTGGTCTAGACAACCAAAAATGTAATGGCCACATCATAGCTGGACTGGCCATCGGGCATACCGGTGGGCCGATGGCGATTTTTCGTTTTTAAAATTTTTTTTTTTATGGTATAAACAATGAAAGGTGGTGGATTGGCCAGATGCTGGCCGATATGTAAAAGTAACTCAGTAACCAAATTTTTGGTGGCTGTGGCGGAGCTGCCACAGAGGCCAGCAGGTGGATGAGGGAGAGTGGAGGCAGGAGGAGGAGAGACCCGAGGCAGCTGCCGGTCCGAGTATCAGGTGAACTGAACTTCAGGTAAGAAGTTATGACCTGCAGTCTACCTGGGTCAGATATAAACCAAGTTTAGGTGGAGTTTATTTTCGTTGTGCTGACTTTTTACAGTTACAATAAGTTGTACTGCGTACTATGGGAGCTATGATGTTGCTGACAGTGAACTTTATTTTATTCATAAAGTTAGTTAGTAGAGTTGCCAACTGTTCTGTAAAAAACAGAATCGCCCCGCATTCAGAGAAATTATTACGCACTTCGTACGGAGCTGAAAAAGAACACAGTTTGTCCTGGACGTCAGCTAGAATGGAAGAAGACACAAAGCTGGAGTTATTCTGCGTCTTTACGCTGTCAGCTGCCTCTTCTTCTCAAATTCTCTCACCCTCGCTCTCCTGTTACTACTTCAATCATGAAACTGATCAATGATCAGCTGGTCTTGATGCGTGCTTAATCATCCAGGTAAGTAAATCCCAAAAGGTTGATTCTGTTGGAGAAACGTTTCGTCACTCATCCAAGTGACTTCTTCAGTCTCAGCTGACTGCAGGTTTCCCCCCTACCTTCTTCAAATCGAACAAAATTGATGTCAAACATTTGTCCTGCAAATTATTTTGTTTGTGCAGGTTATGTTTCCCTAATTTTATAAACAGTACATGTACAGTGAGAGAGAGATGTTACATCTGTCTTCACTTGCATCCCAGTCATAGAAGCGTTGGAGGTAGTTCATAAGAGATTACAGGATCACCCCAACCTCAGCAACAGGACCACTCTCAGCACTGATCAGTTGTGTTTGCTTTTGGAACTGTGTCTTAATTCCACCTATTTTGCATAAGGGTCAGTACAGGCAGAAACCTAGGTGTGTCATGGGTTCCCACAGGCCCCTGGTCAAAGTCACCAAACCAGTTCGTAAGCAGGTACAGGTGTGGCCAGAAGGGTACTCAGAGGCACTGCAAGACTGCTTTTCCACCACAGGTTGCTACACACGACAACACCGCAGACTTTCAGGAATATACAGAAACTGTTACTGCCTACATCCCAAAATGCATCGATGATGTCACAGAGACCAGGTGTCACCGGTTGCTTAGAGGTACCACTTGCAGGACTCATGAGTAGCGTTTAAACAGAGATTGTTTATTACAGATCTTCACCAAGTGTATGTACAGACAGTGCGGGGTTAGTGCTATATACAAGACGTGAGGGGCAGGGATCCAGGGCTCCAGGGAAAAAGGGGAAATCACACACGTGCTCAGTTCAACCTCTCTCTTCTCCGCTAGCGACCAGTCACTCCTTCCACACTCCACACGGGGAAACACGGGGACTCTAGGAACAAAGAAACACTCGTTAAGTCTCTGAGACGGAGGCACAGGAAACTTGAGCTAGACGTGTACTGACTAGAGCCTTCACAGCAATCCAGCGTTGAACAGCTGATCCCCTCCTTCTAATATACCAGTTGGTCTGATGAGGTCCAGGTGTTCCCAATCCAGGAAGGTGTGGACCGAGGGCGTGAAGCCGCCATGAGTTCTGCCCCTGCAAAACAGGGCAGAGAAGGAGAGAGGGGGAGAGAGAGGAAAAAAGAGAAGAGAAGGAGGGCTAGGAGTGGAGAGATTCTGATCAGCACCTTGCCGATCCTGCAGGTCGTGACACCAGGACTATCACTGTCCGGGCCAATCAGAAACCATGGCTCACAGGTCAGGTTTAAATGCTGCTAAAGTTGAAAAATGCAAGCCTTCAGAGCCGGGAATTAGGTGAGCAAAAGAACAGCAAGGGCAAACCTGTCACGTGGCATCAGCTACAGCAAAGCTTCAGCGACAGCAGAGATACTTGGAGGCAGTGGCAAGGAATACAAACCATCACAGACTACAAGCCCACTCTGCAGACCGTGGTGACACAATCCCCAGACAGTGTGTGGAGATCTCTTGCCAAAATCAGTACCGCCGTTCCCATATGCCTCAAAGCCTCCACCATCATTACTGTACCCAAGAAGTCATCTACCTCCTGCTTTAAGGACTACCGTCCTGTCAAACTCACCTCCATCATTATGAAGTGCTTTGAACGGTTAGTCCTGCATCAAATCAAATGATCTTTTTCGTCAAAACGCTCAAGTGATGATGGAATTTCAACTGCCCCTCACTCAGCCCTCACACATCTCAACACTAGAGACTCATATGTCAGAGTGCTGTTCATAGACTTCAGTTCAGCATTCAACACCATCATTCCCCAGCAACTCATTCACAAACTGGATCTGCTGGGGATCAGCACCTTGCTGTATAACTGGCTGCTAGATTTCTTGACAGGAAGACAGCAGATAGTACGGGTCGACTGCAACAACTCCAGCCCAAGAACACTGAATACGGGGGCTCCCCAAGGATGTGTGTTGAGCACCCTTCTCTTTACTCTGCTGACCCACGACGAGATCTACTACAGGGGTGAAGTTAACCATCTGGCAGAGTGGTACAGCAACAACAACTTGTCCCTGAATGTGGAGAAGACCAACAGCAACTCTACTTCCTCTGCAAACTGAGAAGCACAAGAGATTCAACCCCCATTATGAGCACCTTCTACAGAGGCACAGTTGAGAGTATCCTCACCAGCTGCGTCACTGTGTGGTATGACTCCTGCACTGGGTTCTGCAGGAAAAAATGACAATGCACCTGCCTCATTTGGAAGGTCGTCTCCATTACAGGTGACCCCACTCATCCCTTCAGCAGCGTCTTCAGTTTGCTGCCATCAGGAAGGATACTGAAGAGCCTCCGGGCCAGAACACACAGACTGAGAGACAGCTTTGTCCATCGGGCTGTCAGGATGCTGAACTTCACTCACTGGAAGACTGCAATTGACTCACACTCTCTAACTACACAAACAGACTGCATGAATTCAGATACCACCATGTAGTATTTCATTTATTATGCTGTAGTAACAAGTGGTACACTTACTGGAAATGATATTTGCAATGGTTGACTGATATTTGCAACATGTCCTGCAAATTGTAAATATCATGTCAAAAATAGAAACATTTTAACTTAGACTAAACAAATGCCTAATGGCAGCTAACAAGCATCTGTTGGTGGCAAGCTTGTTAGCACTGACATCGTCATTGTGGCTGATGATATTTTGTACTTATGCAACAGCTTTTGGTGGATTTTTTTTCTCTACAGCTCTTATAGATAACCATTTCCCGGTAGTTCAATTCTGTTGAATTGTCTGTTTAGCTATCAGTTATGCTCATCAGTTCCAGTTGCCCTTATGGTGCAATCTGATGATATCAGTCCATGTACCTGAGGAGGAATATAGTAGCACAGTTTTCAGCGTGGATATGAAAACTACTTTTATTTTTCTTGTAGAAAAAGTTCTCTCTCACAAGTAACTTTGTAACATAGGCATGTGTGCATATATGGAGTATGAGCATCAGAATGATGCATACATAGCTGATAGTTGAATATGAGGTATTATTGTTGTGTTTTTCATGTGATGACTGCTAAGCAGGAGCATTCATGATGACTTATATGTTTCTTTTTATCTCAGTTCACATTAAAGGGACAAGCTGTGTGTCATTTTATTTGTTTATTTGCTGAAAACGTCTTCAATAAAGGAGCCCTCTCTCAACTTCAGATGCATTTTAGGAATGGACACATTCTTCAAGACGGCATGCTGACATCCATTTTGAGGTCCCAAAAAAGAAAAATGTGAATAAAAATATCATAAAAGTAAAAACAAAAAACAATATGGTAGGATTCAAATTTAGAATTTTTGAGTATTTTATCAAGTGTGCTATAAAGAATTAACTACTGAGTTAATAAATTGTAGTTGCATTTTATTAAATTTATGACAGCAGCCATGCCTGCCCTGTAAGCATCCTGACAGATTACTGCCTGCAGGCAGTAATCTGTCAGGATGCTTTTGACAATGTGTTATTTCGTTGTTAGATGACACATGACTTCCTCAAAAGGCACCTGTTATGCAAATAACATGAAAACGCTGCAGAAATATGATACAAGAATAACACGCCTTCGTCTGACACCAAACACAGGCATTCAGTCTCAGCTACGTTTCTCTTTTTACTTTATTTATCCTTTATGAAATGCTTCATGTAATGCATCATTTCTCCTTTATGAAATAATAACAGTATTTCAGCAGCTCAACTGCTAAAATGCTTTTAAAACACTTTTTCATTAGGCTTAGAAATTCTTCACTGGTGTGCTGTTTGAACCTCTGCTGTCTGCATTCAAGGTCTGAAGTGTTGGGCTTGATGATGCTTGTACAGCTTTGCTCTGCTCACTGTGTAGTCTCATCTCATCTGGGCCATGATGGTCGTTTTACATTATACAGTTTTGCAGGCAGATAAAAGACACCATTATTTGTTAAAGATAAAGAAATTGTTTTGCATGTAAAGAAAAGCATTTCACTCTCACATTGACAGAATGCTGTTTCGTGTCAAAGCACTGTGCAGATATCATTTGGGGCCAGGGGAATTTTTCCAACCTCAGAAACGAGTGTCATATTTTGCAGTGAGTTTGCATTTCCAGGTAGGTCAGCCCTGGGCAACATTTACTTTGTATATTCATTTTGATTTCTTTGTTCTCTTTAGTCATGCAATAAAAATCAGATAAGGGCAGCCTGACGTCTACTTCGATCACACAAACATTACATAGAAGTAAGTCGTGGATAGGTACGGACTTTGAGCTTTACTTTACTTCATTACATATTTATATTTATTACATAAAATTATACTACAGTATATTTCAAAATAACTAACCAGTCAAATGTGACACGTTTGTGATCTTTAGAATCCCCGTACAGCGTACAAACAGAGGCAACCACATTTTAAGCACAACTTTAAAAGTTTGGCCTTATTTGACCCGAAGAAGAGATCAGATGCCCATATTATTCCCTAAAGGTATACTGTATATACTGTGAATTTAAACAATGGCAGTAAGAAACCGTTTTCGATACCTCTGCACAAATGATCAGTTTCATCAAAACCTTCTAGGAAAGAATTGAGAAATAGCAGAATATTTTTTGACATATAGTCTTTGTTTAGGTTCCCCATACAAATATTTAGTACGGGTTTATATATTTCATTTTTAAAACGTTAATTAAAACACTAAATACATACATTTAGGATACTTTGTTTCTAATTGTAGTGTTTGGAAAATCCTCACAAGCGAACAGTTGGAAGTGTTTGGAGTGAAAAATATCAATTGTTAGAAATTTGTGATGATTGAAGATGATTTCCTGCCGACTGAGTTCATTGCGAATAAGCGGAAGAGACTGGATTGACGCGGGCGGTGCTCAGACTCGGCGTGACTCCAGGTAAACTCTGCACTGGGAGGTCCCCTGTCTGCGACCACACCGTTTAGGAACTCTTTGGAGTTTATCTGCGTAAAATCTGTTTATAAAGACAAAAGCGTAGAAGACCGCTTTTCACAAACAAGCGGATGGAAATCAAGGAACAACGCAACCTACGTGGGTTTCCCGTGTTGAATAAACTTTCCATCCACGCTTTACTTCGTGCTCCGATTTAATGCCCAACAAAAACAGGTGAGCACAGAATGATGTTATTACGTGAAAGGATTATTCTGGAATAAAGAAAAGTTCTCCTGATAAGACAAAGTCGGCTTGCATGCTTCGAGAAATTTCACCGAACGCGGAAATGATGGCTAAACGCCTACATTTATGGTGTCTGTAGTTTTTCCGTCTGCATAGCGGTTTCCGTTTGATCAGCAAACGTAGAGGGGGATTCACAAACGGCACACACTGCCGGTGTTCTGGAGAACAGGGCAATTCTAAATGTTAGCTGCACGAGGCTGGACACGGATGACCCATATGTAGGTCGAATGCTGATTGATTGATAAGTGGGCCGGAATAAGGAAGATCAACACAGATCTAAAAGTACAGCATGAAATGCACAGGCAGTGGTGGAGTGCATATTTTTTCATTGTTTTTGAACCCTCTTTTTCGCTTCTGTTTTTTGTTTGTTTGGACATCACTCATCTGTGCAGCTAGACTAACACTACACGTTGACTTCCTCATTGGAGTGTGGTGATCTCTAAAATGGAAAAAAGGCCAAGAGTTGCTCCTAGGCTTAATATTTTGTTATAAACAGCGAAAACAAGCAGAACTATTGTACACATCTGATTACCACAGTTTTCAAGTGTTATATTACAAGTGGAAGTGTTCTCTGCATTACACTCTATGAGTGTCTGTAGACTGCTTTCTGTCTACATCCGCTCCAGCATAAAACAAGTTATCAGGTTCAGTAGCCTATGTAAAACATTTCACTGAACCTAAAATACAGAATCTTTAACAGTGTACTCTGGACAGGGGCGTTTTTAGCGTTTTTAGCCCATTTCTGGCTAAAGCACCCCCAAAGATTTCTTACTTTTTTGACAATATTTGGTACAGGATATTGTCTTTTTTGTGTGTGTGATACACTACAAAAAATATAGAAAGCATGCAGTACTTGGTTGAGATGTAATATTTTAACAACAAAAGTATAGATACCCCCCTCCCAAAATGGTTTGTTCCAGCTCGCCTTGCCCCTGCTCTGGCTCTTGTGCCCTACGTGGTGTGCGATATTGCATATTTTGGTATCGATCCGATACCAAGTAAATACGGGCCAGTATCGCCGATACCATTACCGATACTTTTCAATAAATAAGGTGGATGCCTCATTGAATTGCTAAATCACAATTAATTTTCATGACCTTAAGTGTTTTTTGTGATTTTTTTTCCTTTTATATTATTAATTACTTAAAACCCAGGACATAATTAGGAGAAATCATTTATTTATAATTAAATAAAAAAATGCTTTATTATTGTGGCGGGCCATGGTCTGCGATGCTGCTGCAGAGGAGATGGACTCACCTTCACTGCATCTACAATGATGCCTCACCGGCTTAAAACCTGTGCGCTGCTTGTGCTGTTGTTGTTTTTGGTGTTGATGTGTACAGCTGGCAGCAGGATGGCTGCAGCCATTAAATGTAGGCTACAGTTACAGCAACCGGGTGATCACTGTAAGGGTGGACAGCGCGCGGCTTGGGGTGAGCCGGAGGCTGGCGCGCCAGCGGCACCTGCCAAGCTGGAGATGAAGGTCGAGGTGCGCGGGGGTCCTGCCTGGCCCTGAATGCTGTCCGCCCAGCTGCCTCTGAGCCCTGGCTCACTTCCACTGCTGCTGCGCCGCCGCTGCTTGCCACATGGGTGGCCATCAGGCCAGCTCCCGGGCTTCCGCTGGAGTCGCGGGCGACCACCAGAGTGAACACTTCCCTGTCGCATGGGGCGCCGATGGTCCGGGCCGATTCCCTCGCCTGCTCGCGGGGTGGGGTGAAGCGGGCGATGGGGGTATGTGGCAGGGCGTGTTCTGTGATGCCGCTGCAGGTTTGGTGGTGGTGATGTGTACGGCTGCCAGCGGGAGAGCTGCAGCGGTTGAATGAACTGTTACAGCAACCGTGTGATTATTGAGCGCAACACCGAAATATAAGGGGGGGGGAAGCAAAGTGTTTACTGCTGACACAGGAGCGGCGAGTCCAGCGACCTGGCTGTTTCGTTTTTGCCGAAAGCACAGCATAGCATAGCAAACAAGCAGAACTGTCAAACAAAACATAACATAAAAGAATCGATCTAACAAGGCTAGTATCGATCCGATACCGATCCCGACTTGGGATTGATACTATCGATATTTGGATCAATCCGCCCACCACTAGCCCTCACTGCCAGACCGATAGTCGCTGAGATGCAGAGGAGCGGAGGTGTAAGTGCCTGCCTTAAAACAGGACATATTAGCTGCATTTAACCTTCAGTTACTGTTTATATAGTTAGGTAGGAGTCAGACCATGTTTCTTTTTAGCTGAAAAACATTACACCCGGGTAACCTGCAGTGTTGAAAACGTGTTTTCCGATGATGTTTGCTACCCTACAATCCGTCCTGCTCTGTAGTAAAATAAGCGACAGTTGACGGTCCTGTTGCTCCCATTGAAATGTATAAAGCCTATTTAAAATCTAAAACTTAAAAGTGTCTGTAGCCTGCTGTTGTTACCACTGTCCTGTTTGAAAAGGAATGAGAGAAGCCGGTTATTTTGTCATATGTGCCGATATTAAACCCAAGGTACTTATCAGCTAACTGACTGCATTCCCATTAGCCTTAACTCCTGTTGTGTGTGTGTGTGTACAGAGAGACAGTCACGTTCATAATGGATATAAGGAAGTTTTTTCAAAAAAGTAGCCACATTTAGTTAAAAGTGTAAGATCAAATTATCCGTCAATAAAGGATAATGTTGGATCAGTGTTTCAGTATTTATATCTTTTATTAGATGTTCATGTGTTTGGTTATTTGCCTTTTGGTTGAAAGTACATTGAGAAGGGACTTTAATAGTGATTTCAATAGTATTTTTTTCATATTAATTTAACTTTTTTCATTCAATACAATCTATTTGTGTATGATTGTCAGTCCAAAGAGGGAGAGAGGAAAGAGGGGAACGTGAGGAGAAAGTACAAGGTCAGGAAGAACCAGGTAAGAAAACAGACAGGGAACAGTGACAGGCAAAACAGAAACTGTTAAACTGCTTGAGAGAGTTGACCACGAAACAGTGATAGATTTTCCAACCTCAAGGTGAGGCGACATAGGTTAAAATGATATAAAAAATCTGCAGAGCCATATTAGTAGTATCTGCAGTAAAGAGCTTTTCATACATTGTACCATAGGCACAGTTGTCTCCATTTTTATAATTTTTTTAATTAATATTTTGTACATTTCAAGGACTCTTCTATTTCGTTAGCTTCATAGCATAATTGCCTAAGTCATTTGACTAAGTCAATGACTTAGGCACTTATGCTATGAAGCTAACGATTTTTGGAGTGTATTTTTTATGTATCTGTATTATATTATACATACACCTTAAAAGTGAATCTCTGTCCAAAAAATGCATTCAGTTTACTTTTTACTCACTGTGAGCATCATTCATTATTCTCCCCCAGTAATTAAGGTTAGGATATGTATTTTTTTTTTATTCCAATCAGGGCTGGGCGATATGACCCAAAATTCATATCTCGATATTTTTTAGCTGGATGGCGATATAAGATATCTATCTCGATTTTTTTTTTTTTTAAGCCATAAAGTAAGAACAAAAAGAGAGTTCTTAGTCAAAGCTGTGTCCCAGATGTCACACAGGCACTTTTATTAACATACAGCACAGATGTACATGAAAAATTACTCAAAATTAAATTATGAGCATTCATTAAATAATCATGCTCCATAAATAAAAGAAAACAAGGTTGTTTTTGTGCTAAACAAAGAGCTCACAATTGTGCAGTCAAAATATAAACTAAAAGACGCTGAGCGTAATAACAAAGACAGATTTCACAGCTGCTCTGTTCCCAAGTTTTACTGTGTGACTGACAGCCTGGAGTTTGAAATCCGCTTCATAACCACGTCTCTTACAGGTGCCATTTATGGTCCTTATACACACACAATACGGTAATATTACGTTGATGCACAGTACGTATCACTCCGCGAAGCTCCTCGGTAGCCGTAATGCGCCGACAATCTATCAAGCGGTGCAGCTCCGTAGCTTACCAAAGTCGTACTCAAACATTTTTGACAGATTGCTGAACGCTGTGTACCACATAAAATCGGTTCGCGGCCATCAAGCACAACCAGAATTCATACATAAGGCGCGCTATCAACTTTTGAGAGAATGAAAGGATTTTAGGGTTAGCGCTGTTAGCTCGTTAGCATGTTTAGCTCGTTAGCACGTTGACGCCGTCCAGCCCCACGCATGGGGCGATGCGCAGTAACTCGTTAACGGAGATTTGCCGTGTCCGTCTTGTCGCTGCCTGCACGTGAAGCGATGGGGGAGGAGGGGGAGTTGTCTTCAGTGAAGGCGAGGCGGAGTAACGTTGCGTAGAGACAAAAGTGGACGAAAGAGAGGCAAACTTGCGGCTCCACAACTATAATTATAACGTAACATAGACTATATCGATATAAAGGATATTGTCACATCTTATATCTCGTATAAAAATATATCGATATGTTTTAAAAACTCGATATATCGCCCAGCTCTTATTCCAATCCATTTTTCTTTTGCAGCATTTAAATAACCTTTGTCAGATTTGATGGTTTTGATACAGACTTTTCAAAAAACTGTTTTGGTTTTCTTTCACAAATGTGGGGATTAGATTTTTTTTTAGAATTGAATATTGATTTATTGATTAGCATTCAAATATCTCAGTGAAAACAGAATAAAGATCTACCACAAAGCAAGAAACCAAGACAAGGCTAATGAAAAGGTATTGGCTGAAGCATATGCTTATTAAATTGTGTTAAAATGTACAAAACAGTGATCTCATGTTTTGAGACTTGATGAATTTAAGAATCTTATTATTTAATAAAGAAATTTGCAGACTTGCACAGAGATGGTAAAATTATGATGACTGATAACGAAGACGAAGACAACAGTCGATGAGGACAGGGAGGAACAGGGGTTTAAATGCACCAAGGAGACAATCAGAGAGAACTCGGGACAACTGGAGACATTTAGGGATACAGGGACTGACAGAGACAGGGAAGAAGTCTCATTGTGACAAGTAAAGTTTATCTTGCTTGGCTGGGCAGCTCTCCTGGTGCTCAGCACCCCCAAAGCCCTGATCCTAGAATCGCCCCTGACTCTGGATGTTGCTTCTGTATTGACTGTTAAGATATTTGACTTCATAAATGAATGGCAAGGGTAGAGGGTTTTTAGAAATTGCCAAAGCTTTCTGAGTCATTATCTACCGCGTATGTTGCAAAAAAATTTTTCCGAATGTGACCCTGCCCTGTAACATAGAGATGTACTGAATGTGTTTTGGTTTTGTGAAAAATTAGTTTTCAAAAAAGAAACTGTGAAATACATGAAGTTGACATCAAGTGACGATGAGCTGGTCCTGATGTTTCTGAACCAGAAAAGGAAGAAAGAGATTCTGGCTATGTCTAGTTCTCACCAGAAGCAACCATCAAACCATGAGATTTTCATCTGAGGAGGCAAACAAATAGGTTCAGTGAGCCGATTGACCCCGAATCGCGTCTAGCTGTGTGTCTGAGTTAAAATAGAATTATTTCCGAATTGTATATTCAACACGATGAGCGCATTTGTTGCCAAGTGCAGTGGTCTGATTAGGTTAAAGCTGTTTATTCGTGTCCAAAAAAAAAGATAAATGTCAAAACATTGTTCTGTGTGAATGGCTGCAAGAAAGAAAATAGGTGAGGCCCAAATAAATTTTTAACAAGAAATATTCACACAAATATTACACATCTGGTGTGTAAAGGCCTTTTGATAGCGAATTTGGATAGGTAACTGAGGATAGATCTGCACAGCAGTCCCACCTGACTGCTGTTTTGAGCTTTTCAAGGGCCAGCCACTCAGAAAGGTAAGCGTGTCCTTGAGAGCAATGGAAACAACTTCTTTCAGACATTAGATTAATTGGGTGACCACACTAAGGCCCAGTACGAAACAATTATTTGAACTGTGAATCATGCTCCTTTATCACATTGAGAGTAGGGGCATGCATCGATCAGTAAATCAACAGCTTTGCTTCTATGAGCGGCCGTCTCGTGCCAAACGGGTGCAACGTCTGCATTGCTGTTGCTGTGGCACCAAAACTGTTTGTCAGGCTCCCACTTTCTTCACTTGTGAACAAGACCCAGAGATACTTGAACTCCTCCACTCCCGGGCAGTGACTCGTCCCTGACCCGGAGTGGGCAGTCTGGCCTTTTCCTACTGAGGACCATGTTCTCAGATGTGGAGGTGCTGATTGTCATTCACACTTAGCTGTGAACCCCTCATGAAGCCTGCAGAACCACATTCTCTGCAAAAAGCAGATATGAGAAATTGAGGGCTACAAAGCTGGAAGCCTTATGACTTTAGTCAAAGGAGCTTGCAAAGAAAAGCGTCTGGACTTCTTTAAGTTACTTGAAGACGTTTCACCTCTCATCCGAGAAGCTTCTTCAGTTCTAAGGTCAAATGGTGGAGAGTCCCAGATATAAACCTAGTGGGAGTGTCCCCCCACAGAGGGACAAAGGACCCCCTGATGATCCTCTAATCGCCTGAGACAAGGTGTGAAACTGGGTGTGGGTCCCAATCAGCCAGAGTTTCGGGTGTGTTCATTGTGCAACCTGGCCCCACCTTATCATGCGAATTCCTGAGATCAGATGGCCCAGGATGTGAGTGGGCGTTAAGTAACTTAAAGAAGTCCAGACGCTTTTCTTTGCAAGCTCCTTTGACTACGATGACCTGGATGACTGAGAACCTTCACAGACCTTATGACTTTAATTCTGTTATTTATTAATTTGTGTATTGCTGTGTTATCAGAATACGTGCTGTACAAGTTCTCGCGATAAAATGTGTTTCCTTTCTCTGTAGTTTTCATGGACAAGAAGAGGCACCTAAAAGGCATCTTCATTTGCATTGCAGCAGCAGTGATTTTCATCTTTTTCTATCTCAATTCCAACAAAGTGGTTAGGAACATTCCTTATCAACCAGCATCAGCAGAGCCACGTTGGGAGGATCCAGGACCATATCATGTGGCCTACCCACGAAACTACAAATTCATCATGGATGACACGCCTACATGTAGGACCACAACTCCTTTCCTTATTCTGATGGTTCCTGTTGCACCCGGTAATGTGGCAACTCGGGATGCCATCCGGCAGACGTGGGCAAATGAGAAGCTGGTTCTGGGTCAGCAGGTAGAGACTGTCTTCATAGTGGGCCTCCCTGGTGGAAGTGATGCTAAACATCAGCAAGAGAAGCTTCAGCAGGAGAATCAGCTGTACCATGACCTGATTCAGAGCAACTTTCAGGACAGCTACTATAATCTGACTATCAAGACTATGGTCATGCTGGAGTGGCTGGCTGCACACTGTACTAAGGCTTCCTTTGTCATGAAGATCGACTCCGATGTTATACTCAATGTCCCGAATCTGGTGAAACTGTTGGTGGATCCTAGCACAGCTAAGCAAAACTATATGACTGGGCTGGTTTGGTGGCATAGTCCTGTTTTAAGGAACCCATTTATAAAGTTCTACATGCCTCGATCTGTGATTGCTGAATCAGAGTACCCCCCGTATCCGCTCGGCTTTGCCTACGTCATGTCACTAGACCTTCCTGGGAAGATCTTGGGAGTGTCACCTGAGATCAAACCGATCTACATTGAAGATGCTTACCTCGGCATGTGTCTGAAACGCCTGGGCGTATCTCCTACTGACCCTCCAGAAGAAACAATGTTTCTTGTCAATCCCAGCCATTCTCTGAGCAGCTGCAGTCTTTCAAAGCTGATCGCTTCGACAACAACAAGCATCTTGCAAATGAATGACTACTGGGAGAGGATCAAACGGGGAGTTCAGTGCTGAAGGTTTTCCAAAAAGAGTGAGAACCTGAATTTGGCTAATGGATAAAACAAAAATGAAATATTGCGTATTTATTATGTGGCAAAATGGAGATACTTTTGTTACATCTTGCCAAATCTGATGATTAGGCCAAGTTAACAGAATTATTTTTCTCTAAAAAAAAAAGAAATAATAATAATAATTACAAGTTAGAACTTTGTGTTTGGTGATATTGAAATATTGCTAAATTGGCAAGAGATGAAATGATACTGTTCTCAACTTTTTATTGGAATCAATCAGGCCTTCTTTGTCCTCAGCTCAAGTAACAGATGTTTAATTTACTTTTATGTCCTCTTGTATTTACCTTCTCCACCTCTTTTGTGTTTCTGTACTTTTTACCCTCCGGCCTGTGTTCGTCTTTATATTTGTTGTTATGGTATGGTTTGATATTTGCTGTAGAACTTCCAACTGACGAGATGATAAGATGACATTACTGTGCAGTTGCTTTAACAATAGCTAAACATCCAAATGACCACAATCCATAATTGTTAATGAAGTGTACTGTTTTGCTATGGTATTTTGTTATGATGTAGTCGACTACTTAAGTAATAGCCCTGCGCTGTTTTGATGTTTGTTTTAATGTGTATATTTACTATACATGTTGTTGATTCTTTTTTTTCTTTTCATTTGTTTGCTTGTTTTTTTTTGTTTGTTTGCATTGTAAACCAGCTTAGGATATAAAAGCTGTGGTGTGTTTCTTAGAGACAAGTTTTTTACATGGACTATGTCAAACTAAACTGATCTAAACTAAACTATGGGGCATGTATGATCCTGATGTGATGCAATATACGAAATGTACCATGACTGTAAAGAAAAAAAATTGGCCAGTACTGTGAATTCTACAGTTGTAGTTTGTCATAGTTCCACAAGATGGACGACTTTGATTCTATAAAATTTAAGCCACAAGTATGTTTAACGTGCTGCATATTTTTTAACCTCACTGCTTTAAATGTATGATCTAAGCTTCCTTCAAAACACAAAATACTAAAATATTATATTTAAAAACAAAAACAAAACAACAACCTCATGTAATACCTTCCAATAACAATCAGTCGCTGATAGGATTGGTGTGCTGGGCCGGGCGGACTGCTTGTCTAAACCCCAGAGTGAAGGAGAACATCTCCTGTGTCTGGGTGCTAATTGCCCCTATGGGGGTGTTGGTGCTTGACCTGGGAGTATAGAGTGTTTATGGGTAGTGTGAGTGTACAGTATTCATTTCTGCATGTCTTGATGTTGGGTGTGTGAGGAAGGGGAATGCATGTGTGTGGCTGTTTGTCTATGTCTGTGTCAGGTCTGGTCTTACACTCCACCTCTCTTAGAACATCTCAGGCTCCCCCAGGAGCTAAAAGCACAGGGTTGTCCCTGCGGTGGTCCTCCTGGAGCTTTCATGGTGTGGTGGGCTTCTCCATGCCTTCTTCAGGTGTTGGTGGGCGGGACTGTGGCTCCCCACATACACTGTTAGACAGTTACAGTGGGAAACCTTATGAACACAAGCACACTCCTGCATGGCAAGACATGTTCACACAGATGTACAAGCAGGTACTCACAGACACATGTCATCTTGGGCTGCTGCTGCCTCTAAAAATATCTTTTATTATTAGTACTTTGTTCAGTAACAACATCACTGTTATTTATGTTGGTAGTTGCTCTGGTTTCTCTGCTCCCCCCTGCCTCTTCTCAACAACTGGCATTTTTTCTCTCTCTCTCCCTCTCTGTTAACTTTCTCCCCAACTTAACTTTCTTTCTTTTTGTCTTTTCCCGTCCAGGTCTCTTTACTATTATACCATAGAGGATGGTATCAAAGGCTTTAGTTAAGACTGAGAAATAAAAATTGCATTCACATTTGCAGTTTTGTCTTCAAAAACTGCAGCATAAAAGTAGCTGGAAACATGCAACAGAAATTGGCAGTACTAAAGAGGCTGAACACAATAGCTGTGGGCTGTGTTCACCTGGATTGTACTTACATCATTAAGGAGGTGCATATCAAGTTGTTCCATAGGTTATGGCGCAGGATTTCAGAGGAGTGTTGATATGGTGCAGCTTTCCCACTGAAGCATAAATCTTCAGTATCAGTGAGCTTAGAGATTTTCAGCTCTAACTCAAATGTTGTGAAGCTGTGCACTTTGTTAACAATGGCAAAGAAAGATGATATAACTCACCACTTTTATCTTTCTTGTCTTTTTAGGGAACTTGTCCAGAGCATCTTTCCACAGAAGAAGATCTTATTTCATTCCTGGTTTCAGCTCCTGCTTCTATTTTGTGTTTTGGCCTTAGGCTTGTGTTACACCCTGTCCAGCCGCCCGCTGTCACTATGGCAGAGCTTCCCACTGCAGGAACAATACCAGTGGTTTTTAAACCAGAACAGTAGGGTTAATGCACCTGCTTACCGCATTCACCCCAAAAACAAAGTTATATTAAACAAAACCACTGAACCTTCGACTGTGCGATCTACCTCCCTCCAGTACCACCAAGCCTATCCACGCAACTACCATTTTCTTATGGATAACACAGAGGTTTGCAAGAACAAGATCCCATTCCTGGTTCTCATGGTTCCAGTGGAACCAAAAAATGTGGCAGCTCGGGACGCGATCCGCCAGACATGGGGCAAAGAAAACATAGTTCAGGGTGAGGTGGTACTCACTTTATTTATGTTGGGTGTCTCTAGAGAAGATGATGTTGAGAAGCTCAAACAGGAAAATTTGCAGCACCATGATCTGATCCAGAGTGACTTCACAGACAGTTATCTAAACCTAACAATCAAAACCATGGTGATCATGGACTGGCTAAGTACACACTGCCCTGCAGCAGCCTATGCCATGAAGATTGACTCTGTCAACATTCAGAAACATGTCAATCTAGTAATCATGCTAAAACAGCCGGGCATCCCCAAGACCAACTACCTGACAGGGATGCTTATGTGGAACAGACCAGTCATTCGTTCCAAGAACTCCAAGTGCTATGTGCCTGAGGAATTGTATCCAGAGCCTGAATACCCGACCCACACACTGGGTATGGGATATGTCTTTTCTAATGATCTTCCAGAGAAATATGTGGAAATTTATTTATTTGTATATTTTAAATGTGATTTAGGGTTACTGGGTTGTAAAGATGAAAGTGAGCTACTGCATTACATTTAAGGTTTTATCAAGAGCAATATGCAGGGAATTTACATTTGCATTGACCAATGGTACCTGGCTCCTCAGTTTCCTGTGGGACATTTTAATACTTGAAACATAAACTACTTGAAGGTATCCCAGGCAAGGTTTAATAAAAACTCTACAACTGATGCTTGTGTTTCAGCCATTTTGGCAGGGTTGACGGACGGGGTGGAGTTGTTTGTACAGCACAAGTTACCACATTACCTGGGGCTATCACCGTTGCCTGTGTGTTTGGTTTCCAGATACCATTAGGGTGCACTTAGGGGTGTGGTTATAATGTAGGCTAGAGGCACAACCTCACAAGCACACACAAAAAAGGGGTGAGAGGGGAGAAACAAACAGACAAATCCACTACAACTACTGATGCATTAGTGAAAGAATTCAGCACTTCACTTACTTCTTAAGGGTATGCGGAGCATTTTGAGAAAAAAAACTTGAAGTTACTTAAATGTGTTTAGAAATAATACAGCTGGGGTTAAGCTTTAAAGTGACTTCTAGTGAAAGGTGTGAATATTTTAAAAGATTATAAGGTTCATTTTACATATTAAATTATATTTAAATTAAATGGACTGTTCTTATTCATTTGAATGTAATTAATATGTTTTTCCAAAACCTGAACGTTTCTCCGGTGGTTGTGAGGAGTGTCATTCACATACTAGAGTCTATGATAATACCACAGTAGAGCACTGTCTTGTTTTTTTTTCTATCAGTGGGAAATCTGGGATCCTTAAAAGTCCTTAGAAGACAATTCAATGTGCTGAGCACTTTCAATGCTTTTAGACTATTCCTTTGTTTTAACTGTCTCATTGCATACATCTGTTAACTTCCTCTTGTGTCTTAGTCCGTCCCACCTGAAATAAGAGACACTGGCAGTAAAGAGTCATTAAGTCAAGGTTCACTGTACATCTTAAAGAAAAATGCACCTTAGTACGAGGGTTCTGATCTCAAAGATGGACAGCATTTAAAGGTTAAAATGGACTTGAAGACTGTAATTGATTCACGCTCTCTAATTACACAAACAGACTGCCAGAAACAGACTGCTTCCACCATGTATGTAGTACTTTATTTAGTATGCTGTAGTAATGAGGGATACACTTAGTGGAAATGACATTTGCAATGGTTGACTGGTTATTTGCAACATGTAATGCCTCTGATTATTCAAAAAAAAAAAAAAGGCAAAAACTAAGACTAAACACATGCCTATTTACATTTAACAAGATGTAGAATATCAAGTTTTATTCAAGGTCTGAAGTGTTGGGTTTGATGACGCTTGTACATCTTTGCCCACTGTGTAGTCTCATAGCTTTACTGGGCCATGATGGCGATCTTACATTATATAGTTGCAGGCAGATAAAAGAATTGATTTGTTGTTAAAGATAAAGAAAATGTTCTGCATGTAAAGAAAAGCATCTCACTCTCAGTTTGACATTTGTAGACTAATGTGGGCAAAATCTAAATGAAATTTTTTAATGTCATTTTTTTTTGCCTGTCTTGTCTGGCAGCTTCTTTGATTTTCGTTAACTGGGACTATAAAAACTCTGCCATCCATGGATGTTACTTTGACATGTACCACCTACCTAAGCATTGTTGCAGACTATTTACACTCTTTAATGCAAAAAGTATTCTGTGATGACCGTGACCTCTTTCAGCAGGATAATGCCAAAAAGGAAAAACGGTATGGTTTGAAGGGAAAAACAAGTTGGAGGGAAAAACATGCTCCGAGGAAGCTCACAAAAAGCGGAAATAGTTGCTAAAAACGTACATTTATGGTGTTTATAATTTTTCTTTAATTTTCTTTATTTTATTTTTCCGTTCGGTCGGTGAACAGACAGGATGGCTTCACAAACAGTAAAAGCCGTGCAATTATTTTTTTATTGTAATTTATTTTTTAAATGTATTTATTTATTTATTTATTTCCGTGCAAATCTAAAGGTCAGCTACAGGTCGCTGGACGCAGATGACCCAAAAGCAGGTTAAATGCTGATTGGCTGCTAAGAGGTCCGGTTGTGCCAAGGTAGGTATCCCCGACATAATTTGTTCCCCCTGAGTCGGGAGCACGCGCTGGGCTGTCCAAGTCACAGATATCCCACGTACTTGATTTTTAATTCAAATACGCTTGTTATAAGGACTTTTTACTCCTTTGAAGACGTTAGCTCTTTATACATTAAGATTACAGTGGGATAAAAATAATATCATGCTGATCTTCCCACAATTTGCTTTTCCCGTCCAAATACGGACAAATTGTCCCACATACTTGATTTTTATTTCACAAACACGTCTTATAATGACTTCTTACTCCTGAGATTTTGGAGGTTGTACCTCTTCATACAGTTAAGTTAGAGGGGGATACAAATAATTATGTGGCAAAATGTCCTCGTGATAGTAAATAATCTCTAACAGGTGAAAATCAATAAATATATCACTTTATATTGTAATTCACAAACTAAACAGTAATGTAATTTTCCACTTTTTCACTAAACTAAAACATCACGACTTCCGCGTCGAGTTAGTTTTAATGGAGGCGGAGTAAACTGGATCCTTGCTCCAGGTGCAGGGGAAACAGGTTCTATCGGGGATGTCTATCTGATCTCTCCGACGTCTATTCCTTATACAGAAAAACAAGCAGAACAGGTGTGCCTATGCGATTGCACAGTTTCTAAGTATTTTTAAGTTCATTAAAGTCCAAGAATTCCCGTAGACTGCTTTCATTGTACACTTGTTTGAGCATAAAACAAGGGAAGTTGCCAGGTTCAGTATGCAAAACATTTCACGGAACTTAAAATTCTGAATCTTTAACAATATACTCTAGATGTTGTTCCTATATTGACTATTAAGATAATTTGGCTTCACAAATGACTGGCAAGATTAGAAAGTTTTCTTTCCTTCTCTTTTTTCAGTGGGTTGTTAAAAAATGCCATTATGTATTGAGCACTTTCTATCTTTCTATCGCCCACAGCAAATGGGCGATAGAAAACCAGTCGGTGCCTACGACATTCCCGATATGCGCTGACATGATGTCGGGGCAGCATGAGTACGAGTAATTTTTTATTTATTTATTTTGCCCCCACCATGATGCCGCCCCGGGCAACCGCCCGTGTCGCCCGTATCAAAAACCGCTGCTGCCCTCTAGAGTGAGCTGGAGGCCACCACTCAATGAAGTCTGCAGAATACGTGCTGTACAAGTTCTCGTGATAAAATATGTTTCCTTTCTCTGTAGTTTTCATGGACAAGAAGAGGCACCTAAAAGGCATCTTCATTTGCATTGCAGCAGCAGTGATTTTCATCTTTTTCTATCTCAATTCCAACAAAGTGGTTAGGAACATTCCTTATCAACCAGCATCAGCAGAGCCACGTTGGGAGGATCCAGGACCATATCATGTGGCCTACCCACGAAACTACAAATTCATCATGGATGACACGCCTACATGTAGGACCACAACTCCTTTCCTTATTCTGATGGTTCCTGTTGCACCCGGTAATGTGGCAACTCGGGATGCCATCCGGCAGACGTGGGGAAATGAGAAGCTGATTCTGGGTCAGCAGGTAGAGACTGTCTTCATAGTGGGCCTCCCTGGTGGAAGTGATGCTAAACATCAGCAAGAGAAGCTTCAGCAGGAGAATCAGCTGTACCATGACCTGATTCAGAGCAACTTTCAGGACAGCTACAATAATCTGACTATCAAGACTATGGTCATGCTGGAGTGGCTGGCTGCACACTGTACTAAGGCTTCCTTTGTCATGAAGATCGACTCCGATGTTATACTCAATGTCCCGAATCTGGTGAAACTGTTGGTGGATCCTAGCACAGCTAAGCAAAACTATATGACTGGGCTGGTTTGGTGGCATAGTCCTGTTTTAAGGAACCCATTTATAAAGTTCTACATGCCTCGATCTGTGATTGCTGAATCAGAGTACCCCCCGTATCCGCTCGGCTTTGCCTACGTCATGTCACTAGACCTTCCTGGGAAGCTCTTGGGAGTGTCACCTGAGATCAAACCGATCTACATTGAAGATGCTTACCTCGGCATGTGTCTGAAACGCCTGGGCGTATCTCCTACTGACCCTCCAGAAGAAACAATGTTTCTTGTCAATCCCAGCCATTCTCTGAGCAGCTGCAGTCTTTCAAAGCTGATCGCTTCGACAACAACAAGCATCTTGCAAATGAATGACTACTGGGAGAGGATCAAACGGGGAGTTCAGTGCTGAAGGTTTTCCAAAAAGAGTGAGAACCTGAATTTGGCTAATGGATAAAACAAAAATGAAATATTGCGTATTTATTATGTGGCAAAATGGAGATACTTTTGTTACATCTTGCCAAATCTGATGATTAGGCCAAGTTAACAGAATTATTTTTCTCTAAAAAAAAAAAAAGAAATAATAATAATAATTACAAGTTAGAACTTTGTGTTTGGTGATATTGAAATATTGCTAAATTGGCAAGAGATGAAATGATACTGTTCTCAACTTTTTATTGGAATCAATCAGGCCTTCTTTGTCCTCAGCTCAAGTAACAGATGTTTAATTTACTTTTATGTCGTCTTGTATTTACCTTCTCCACCTCTTTTGTGTTTCTGTACTTTTTACCCTCCGGCCTGTGTTCGTCTTTATATTTGTTGTTATGGTATGGTTTGATATTTGCTGTAGAACTTCCAACTGACGAGATGATAAGATGACATTACTGTGCAGTTGCTTTAACAATAGCTAAACATCCAAATGACCACAATCCATAATTGTTAATGAAGTGTACTGTTTTGCTATGGTATTTTGTTATGATGTAGTCGACTACTTAAGTATATTGTAATAGCCCTGCGCTGTTTTGATGTTTGTTTTAATGTGTATATTTACTATAGATTGTGCATGTTGTTGATTCTTTTTTTTCTTTCCATTTGTTTGCTTGTTTTTTTTTGTTTGTTTGCATTGTAAACCAGCTTAGGATATAAAAGCTGTGGTGTGTTTCTTAGAGACAAGTTTTTTACATGGACTATGTCAAACTAAACTGATCTAAACTAAACTATGGGGCATGTATGATCCTGATGTGATGCAATATACGAAATGTACCATGACTGTAAAGAAAAAAAATTGGCCAGTACTGTGAATTCTACAGTTGTAGTTTGTCATAGTTCCACAAGATGGACGACTTTGATTCTATAAAATTTAAGCCACAAGTATGTTTAACGTGCTGCATATTTTTTAACCTCACTGCTTTAAATGTATGATCTAAGCTTCCTTCAAAACACAAAATACTAAAAGGGTTAGGGTTGTGAGAGGCTTTTTGTCAGGGGTTAGTATTAAGAGTACATTTATATATTTACATGTTAGATCTTTGTGGTGATATTGGATTTTCAAATGATAAAATGATATTGTAATCACTTTTTATTGAAGTCAGCCAGGCCTCCTTTATCCTCAGCTCAAGTGTGAGATGTTTAAGTTACTTTTATATCCTCTTGTATTTAACTTTAGCTCTTTTGTCTTTCTGTACTTTTTACTCTCTGTGTTTGTCTTTTATATTTGGTGTTATGGTATGGATAACACCAAAGGATATACATATAAATAAAGGATATATAGGATTTAGGATATAAATGCTGTGGTGTTTTTCCTAGTTCATGTAACATACTTGTTTCTATGTCAAGTTAAACTGATGTTATCTAAACTATGTTGCATGTATGATCTTGATGCAATGCGATATAGGAAAAGTACCACGAGTTTAAACAAACTGGCCAGTACTGGGAATACAGTTGTAGTTTCTCATACTTCCACAAGATGGCAGACTTTGATTCGATAAAATTTAAGCCACAACACTCCTAACCACTTTAAACAACAACAACAACAATTTTTATTAATCTGCTGCATATTTATCAACCCCACTCATTTAAAAGTTTGATGTAAATTTCTTCAAAACACAATTAAAATATTTACATTAAATAAAAATCATTTTATGTCTGTTTAAGTCCAATTGAAATTTTTCATTTTTAACCAAAAATCCAGCATCAAAGAAATGTACTATGTGGTGTTTGTTTTCCAAATGAATGGAAATTTTGAATTTTTTAGGTAAAATATATAATTGTTAAACTACTTTTAATTACATTTACCTAACATTATCTGGCCATATATTTGAGAACAGTGACATTCGTCTAAAACGAGACAATTTTAAAATACAACTTTTAGCATTTAACAGACATCTAAAGAAAGGTTTAGCTCACACAGAAGGATTTAGGAATGCTGACTTGAACGCATCAGGAAGCTCGGGAGGAATGCCAGGAACCTCTTCCTCATCATTGTGTCAAGAGGAGCAACGATGCTGAGGTGAAAGGCAAGTCTGCCATTTATCCTGTCAGCCAGTGAGTTCGCTCATAAACTTCCAAAAAAACTTCCAGAACATGTTGATGAACATAACGAAGCACCAAAACCTCTGACCCATCAAGGTCAGAGTTTTAGGCAAGCACTCATGGGTACTGTGTATTAAGAACTGAATCTTTTTTGGCTCCAGTAGAAATCAACAGTGAGTACTGAAATCTTTGGTAGGTTCCAAACCTAAAAGGAGAGACGTGCATTTGATTGTCTGACACTTTTAAATATCACTTATGTGCAGTTTCATGCTTAGAATAAAGAAGTATTTCTTTCACACAGTCTGCACAACTGAGTGCTGTATTGTGCCTACAGCAGGAGCGTTAATGCTATTTGGGGAATGATGGTTTGACATCATGGATTTTCTTAAAATTTAAAGATGCTTAAAGAATATGAAAAGCATGCATGAAAGAATTACAGTCATTGTTGGCAATTTTAAAAGCAATTTTCATATTGATAAAAAGGGGGGGGAAACCGGCGAGTAACATGCTCAGAACTAATGGTCATACAATGGTTTGTCTCTGTTCCACGAGGGTAATGTGATAGGTTTGTGTTTTCATTTATCTCCAGCTCTCTGATCCATTAACTTTCTGTCAAGGCCCTGTTCTAGCTCCCGCTGACTGCAGCCTTAACCAAGAAAACAGCTAAAAATTTAAATAGCGACAATTTGTTTGTCATACTCTCTCTCCCTTCAGTATTTTATGCCTTTGGTGACACAATGAAGTGGGCACACACTGTTCCTCACAGATTTATTGATTACTTAGCACAATTACCCACCAATTTTGACTCCCAGTACCTTAAACTCTCGTTGAGGTTTTGAAGTACCAGGCTGTGGGAGCTGTTGGAGTTGATCGCACTACATGTGTTAGTGATGTCTGGCTCCAACTGATCCACACAGGGGGCCACCTGTGAGTCCTGTAAGACCAGGACCAGTAATCCCACTAGTCAAACAAACTTTAAATTTGAAGGTCACACACACATGGGTGTGCTAGTGTGAGTGTACCATACGTTTGTTGGTTTAGCACTGCTGTGCTTTTTGTCACTTTAAATGTTAAATGTTGCAACCATTTTTTTCTTCCTCCTTTTCAGACTACTTCCTGTCTCTGCCCACTAGACAGATTGTTTGAGCATGTGTCTGCGGTGTGTGCATTACTAGGCCATATATTGTGTTCCTGTTTCAGGTATAAACACAAACCCTCACAGAGACTATACAGACTTTTCAATTTGTACACTCACAACACAGGAAATTGCTCATCTTCTTCCTTCCTTTGATGCTATCAAAAAGGATTGAGTTGATGGAGCTCAGAATGATTTATTGTGTGCAGTCTTTCTCCTTCTCTCTCTGTAGCTTTGAGGAGAATTGGATATCATTTATGTTCCTAAGAAACCAAAGCCTTTCTCAGTAGTTTGGTGCGGGGTAATAGAAAGTGTGTTTTGAATTTACTGAAGCTGAGAAGAAGTTAAGCATACACAGATAAAAATAGACATACCAAATACCAATGAATGACACAATTGCTGTTTTTTCAAAGCATGAAAAGGTGACTTGCTTCACAGATAAAGGGAAACAGAGGGATTAGGATGATTTTGCTCCAGGCTAACGTGCAAACCCAATTTAAACTTCATGTCCATTTAAATCACAATGACAAGGCAAAATTGGACACTCTGAAAATATATTTTTACAATTGCTTCAATGACTTTGAAAGTACAAAATACATAAAATACTGTCCAACTGAGCTCCTCGCAGACTAGGTGTCCTTCAGACTAGCCTCCTATTCCCCCTGCAGATCGGCTGTCTGCTCTGTCACCCTGAGAAGAAAGACTGCACTGCAGGGTCATAAACTTGAGCTGGTCCTGTTTTGGCCGTAGACAGACACACACACACACACACACACACACACACACACACACACACACACACACACACACACACACACACACACACACACACACCAAAAACATCCATCAGTGCATGTATCTTTAAAGCAGGTACAGTGGTTTAAGTTGCACTGATGTGCAGAATATTATGGTTTTTTTATGGGAAGTAAACCACTGAACAGATAACTATATTGAAGAGTTTTAATTGCATATGTTAAAACAGCTCTGTGCTACATGAACATGCTCCTCTACATGAAAACCACAGTGACAGAGTTAAGCCAAGCTAGTAGTATAATGAATCCAATGACAATACGAAAAGAGCTCATTTTTTTTACCTGTACAGCCCTCAAATATTGACACACTCATTTGAAAAAAATCTGGAGACAAGCTGACAGTAGAGTGAATACTCACAAACAATGTCTTGAATAATCAGGCCCCATCTTATCTTAAAGACCTCATAGAGCAATATCACCCCAGCAGAGCATTTGGCTCTCAGACTGCTAGTTTGCAATTTTGGGAGGCAGAACCTTCAGCTTTCAAACCTCTCTTCTGTGGAACCAGCTCCCAGTTTTGATTGGATAGTTTCTATACTTTTGATATTAGGCTTTAAACTAAATAAACTTAAAACACCAGTCATTAAATGCATTTAATCATTAGTTATTAATAATCGTTGGATCTCTTCCACAGTGACCTGGCAGCCTCCTGGCCCTCCCCCAGCCTGGTTCTGCCAGAGGGTTCTTCCTGTTAAAAGAGAGTTTTTCCTTTTCACTGTCACTAAGTGGTTGTTCATAACTGAAGAAACTGAATTTTTTAAAATAAAATACTTGTTTTTACAACAAGAAAACAGAAAACAAAGGCTATACGAGGCTTTTGGACAAACAACCAAGTAGTTTAAGGACAAAAGGCGGCTCTTTTGTTCTTTCTGTGCCTGGCTCTTTCTCTCACTCACACAAACACCATGGACAAACCATTAATGTGAAAGTAAGCCAGACTCTGTGGTGATTTAGGAGTAGCAGACAGTGTGAGGGTAAAGGCCAAGCTCTGGGTCTCATTCAATCTCTCTCCATTCACCAGCCCATAAATAATAACACAGGCACAAACTGACACAAGTAAGAGTTTGAGATGAAGGACATAGGGGGAAAAAAACAGAGAGGACGTGGTGTCTTTTGATGACTAAGAGAAAGAAGAACAGCAGCAAAGAGCAAGAAGACAGGTGTGGGAACAGAAAGAAAATCAGATGTCCTGCTGCTTCCAGCTCAGTGTCAAAGAGCGATGAGGGACTTGAAGCAGTCATACAGAACAAAGTTGTTTGGAAAAATCACAGAAGAATGTAGTTACCTCCACCAAAGACTTTGCAGCTGTGATTATGAGCCTCTGACTGATTATAAATTTATTGTTATTTAAAAAACAACAACAAAAAAGAAACTTCTAAAATGGAAAAAAAAAAAATCAAAAGTAAAACAACAAACAAAAAAACATTTAAATTTACAAATTACAAATTACTTTCATCATAGACATATTAAATGTTGGAGCACTGTAAAGCATTTTAATTTACAAACAGTCAATTTACACTATCGCATTTTTCACATTGTTTATTTCACAATAATAATAACGATAATGACAATCAATTAAAAAATCAAATTCAGGGCTTGAGCAAACCATTTGAATTAAAATATACACTCACTAACCAATTCATTAGGTACACCTTGGTAGTACGGGGTTGGTCCCTTTTTCATCTTCAGAATTACCTTAATGTTTCATGACACAGATTCAACAACATTCCTCAGAGATTTTGTTGTTTGTCGTTACACTGTGGTCATAAAGGGATGGATACAGTCAGCAACAGAGCTTAGGTAGCCCGTGGTGCTTAAATGATGTACAATTAGTACCCAAAGCGTGCCGAAAAAATCATCCCTGATATCATTACCCCACCAGCAGCCTGAAACACTGATACAATGAAGAATGGATCCCTGATTTCATGTTGTTTATGCCAAATTATGAGCCTACCATTGAAAATTTTAGCTTGAATTGACACTTTCAGACAAGATTGGTTTTCCAATCTTTTATGGTCCAAATTTGGCCTCAGTTTCGACATGGCACAACGTGTGCTCCTCTGCTTCCTTAGCCCATCTGCTTCAATGTTCCATGGCAATTCAGAGATGCTCTTCTCCATACCTCAGTTGTAATGAATGGGGAAAATCCCAGTAAATCAGCAGTCCCTGAAATACCCCACCTGGCACCAACAACCATGCCGGGTTCAGAGTCACTTGAATCAATTTTCTTTCATCTTTTGAGCTTTAGCAGGTCATGTCGACCACTTCTGCATGTTTAAAAACAATGAGTAATAATTTTTCATAATTATTATTTCTTTTAAAAAAAGAGGATGTTTCAGTGGCAAGGAGTATAATAGGAGAAAATCAAAGAGCGTCCTTGTTTCCCTGAGCAGAATTGCCAGATGCTCTGTGTACACTGCCTTTTCTCATTTCTTTACATTTAGTCAAGTTCCTCTTGACCACAAGGACCCCTGCCACTCAGGTTCTCACGATCCCTGTCAAGGAGTCACTCTGCAGGCTGTGAGAAGCACTGGTAGCCCCTGCTGCTGGAGGCCTCCCGCTGTGGTCAGTTCCCTAAAAACACACATGCAGACACAGACAAAAACACACACAAACATGTCACAGGCCCATGTATGTTGTATATACACAGAATTAAACAAGCGTACATAATAGTATACAGTCTCTTACTCCCGATTCTTCTCCAGCATCCTCTCTCCTCTTTCTCTCATAACAAACACAGCTGTTCAGACTGCCCTGCTACAGGAAAAAAGAAGCTCCAGCATAAGATCTATGCATGTTCTTGATTTATTACATATCTCTTATATAATCACAATTTGTGCTATTTTATTGATGGTTGAAAGACCTGAAAATTGGAATAATTTGTTCTTAACACACATACTTCTTGTAAACATAATTGTAAAAATAATGGTGATACCGTAGTTCTTGTAGCCACAGTAATGATAAAGTGAGACTGTCCCTATCAGGGAAAGTGTTTGGTTTTGTTTTGGTTATAATGAAGGTAGATTAACGCCTGTGTGTCATGGGAAATGCTTTCCATACCACTTGTGCTTTGACACTGTAAAATCTGACAAGTTGCCAGTACTTAAAAAGATTATGCAGACTCACTGCATTAGAAAAGTTACAGTTTATTTAAGATATTTAAGTTAGGGCAACTTGTTCAAAATGAGTACTTAGAATAACTTGTTTTTTCCGAGTGAGCAATACTAAATGAATTACTTCAGTTGACATATATGTTATATGTCAAGTTCTTTCAAGTACCATGCACTCACAATGAACGTGTGCATTTTAGTCACTATGTCTCACTCTTTCCATATGCAGTCACTATATATAATGCATTTATGCATACATTACATATGAAATTCACAGATAACAGTGTATTTTTAACCAAACAACTTATCAAGATCTAAACATACCTTTAACTTGCTATTTCCTGGTCATGCCAGTACTCCTGGCTAAAGATGGGCAGATTGATCCAAATTTTGTTTGTATATGATATGATAGGACCGATACTTTGTTTTGGTCCTCTAAGATCAGTATGTAGATCTCTGAATTTTGTTAAATTATTATTATTATTATTATTATTATTATTATTATTATTATTATTATAAATATACTTTAACCTCATAAGACCTGAACTCTTTCATGGCATGAATTTTTAATTTCTCTTTGCTATTTGGGCTGATTGGGACCTGATGAATGTAAAAACAAAGAATCGTGGGATGTATTTTTTTTTTAACCTGATTTTAGTTTCTGAGAAAAATGAGATCCACATTTGAGGACATTCGCTTTAAATTTCGATAGAACAGTGGCAGTATGATGTCTTCGTAAGTGCATATCAGGTCCTTGAAGAGCAAAATATTTTGGTCTAGACATCAGAAAATGTGATGTCCACATATGTGGACACCAGGTCCTAGGAGGTTAAATATGTCTTGATGCATGCTCAATCATCCAGCTAACGAAATCCCAAAAAGTTGATTCTGTTCTGTTCATCTGAAAATGTCACGTCTCGATCAACCAAATCAATGTTTTGGGTACCTCAAATATAAATAATAAAAAAAAAAGCCTTTCTGTGTTCACTTTCATGTCTATGATTTTTATAGCCTATATAATATTTAAACAGCAGGAGCTGATCCAAAGTGCTTTAGAGACAGAAACATTTACAAGTCCTCTATAAAAAAAACTCAATGTCAAAATAGATGTTTTGTTCTGTTCACCAGTTATCGTGAAAAGTAAAAATCACAATCATTTAGTGGTTTAACTAGTGACTAACCCATTTTAGTTAGTCACTAAAATGGGTTTGGGAATTTGCAAAATGATGATTCATCTCACAAACCATGACACGCTGCTCTCCCCTACATAAGCTGCATTTAAGTCAAAAGTATCAGTATTGGTGGTCGGCATGAAGCTGGACACTCTGGTGACAGTGGCAGAGAAAAGGACATTAAAGAAACTGATGGACATTATGAACAATGCTGGGCATCCTCTGCACACGGCCATAAACAATCAGAAGAGTCTGTTCAGTGACAGGTTGCTTCTCCCCAAGACAAGAACTAACAGACTTAAAAACTCCTTTGTCCCACACGCCATCAGACTGTTTAACTCCTCTCTGGAGGGGAGAGGGAGGGGAAACAGGAGGACAAAGGAGGGGGGAACAACTAAGCTGTAGTGCCTCTTCACCTCACTGTACAATACCTTGTGCAATACTTTTTGTAAATAGTCAACAGTGCAATAGACCTCAATACTTGAAATGTGCAATTCACTTGTATTTTTATTTTTTATTCCTATTTATTCTATTTATCCCCTTTGTATATTTTATTTATATTTGTCTCTGTATTTATATATGTGTGTGTGTGTGTGTGTGTGTGTGTGTGTGTGTGTGTGTGTGTGTGTGTGTGTGTGTGTGTGTGTGTGTGTATATATAACAATTCTGTAGCTGTAACTTCGGTCGTTGCTGTGCTTTTTTTGGAAGTCGAATTTCCCAGAGGAACCCACCCGAGGGATTAATAAAGTTCTATCTTATCTTATCTTATCTTATTGAGAATATTGTCAATACTGGCCCTGTACACTATCACATACAGTACAGTAGCAGTACTGGTGATGATTTTGCTGAAATTGACACACTTTGGAAAGCACTCCAGCAGGCTGGACCGGGACTAATCTTTGACATTCCTGGATTATGATTTACAAAGGACAAATCTGGAAAATAAAAATAGGTCCATAAATATCTGGACAGAGAGAACATTTTTTTTCAAATTTTGGTTCTTTGCATTACCACAATGCATTCTAAATAAGACAACTCATTTCAGTTATTTAATTGGACAAATTTAATGACTGAATCTTCTATCTCTGGGCATGAGGTCACTGAGGCAGCTAAAGAACTCCTTGGTGGCAGAGCCCCTGGGGTAGATGAGGTTCACCCTGAGTTCCTGAAGTCTCTGGATGTTGTAGGGCTGTATTAGTTGACACGTTTCTACAATGTTGCGTGGAGATCCGGGATGGTACCTCTGGATTGGCAGACTGCGGTGGTAGTTCCCACTTTTAAGCAAGGGGACTAGAGCATGTGTTCCAACTATAGGGGGATCACACTGCTCAGCCTCCCTGTGAAAGTCTATGCAAGGGTGCTGGAAAGGAGAGTCTGTCCATTAGTCAAATCTCAGATGCAGGAGCAACAGAGCAGTTTTCATCCTGGTTGTGGGACACTGGACCAGCTCTTTATCCTCTCAAGGATTCTTGAGGGTGCATGCCCAACCAGTCTATATGTGCTTTGTGGTATTGGAGAAGGCATTCAACCATGTCCGTCAGAGTGTCCTGTGGAAGGTGCTTAGGGACTATGGGGTATTTGGCCCATTGCTACGAGCCATACAATCCTTATACAACCATTGCATGAACTTGGTCTGCATAGCTGGCAATAAGTTGGACTAGTGGGTGATGGGCTCCGCCAGGGCTGCCCTTTGTCACAGATTCTGTTCGTAATTTTTATAGACAAAATTTCTAGGTGTAGCCAAGTGGCAGAAGGCTTTCACTTCGGTGGTCTCAGAATCTCATCTCTGCTCTTTGCAGATGATGTGGTTCTGTTGGCTTTATCGGGTGATGACCCCCAGCTCACACTGGAATGGTTTGCAGCCAAGTGTGAAGCGGTGGGAATGAGATTCAGCACCTCCAAATCTGGCCATGGTCCCCAGCCAGAAAAGGGTGCAGTGTGCACTCCTGGTCAAAGACGAGTTCCTGCCCCAGGTGGAGGAGTATAAGTATCTCAGGGTCTTGGTTACGAGTGATGGGAGAAAGGAGCGGGAGATTGACAGACAGATGTTTTGGGTCATTGTCCATTTGTATTATGAAACGCCACCCAATCAATTTGACTGTATTTAGCTGGATTTAAGCAGACAGTATGTCTCTGAACACCTCAGAATTAATTCTGCTGCTTCTGTCCTGTGTCACATTATCAAATAAAAACTAGTATCCCAGTTCTACTAGCAGCCATGCAGGCCCACGCCATTAGACTGCCTCCGCAGTGTTTTACAGATGATGGGGTATACTTTGGATCATGAGCTGTTCCACCCCTTCTCCATACTTTCTTCATACCGTCATTCTGTTAGAAGTTGTCTTGGTTTTTCCAGAGCTTTGATGGATTTCTAGATGTTGTTTAGAAAAGTACAATTGAGCCTTGAGGCTCTCTTTATTTCTCTTTATTTTATACTTGGATATCATTATGTCTACTTCCTGGAGAGTGTTGTTAACTTGGCTGTTGCAAAGGGGTTTCTCATTACCATGTAAATGATTGTGCAATCATCCCCCTCTGTTGTCTTCCATGGACATTCAGATCTTTTTGTGTTGCTGAGTTTACCAGTGCTTTCCTTCTTTCTCAGGATGTACCAAACTGTAGATTTTGTCACTTCTAATATTGTAGCAATTTCTCTGATGTTTTCACAGCTTAAGGATGGCTTGTTTCACCTGCATAGGAGCACCTTTGGCCACATATCGTCACAGCAAAATCCTCCAAATGCAAGCATCACACCTCAAATCAGCTCTAGGCCTTTTATCTGCTTAACTGATAATGACATAACAAAATTGCCCATAAAATAGCATTTGAGTCAACTGTCCATTGCTTTTGGTCACTTTACAAAGAGGCTGGCACATGTTAAGGAGTTGAATTTCCTAAACCCTTCATCCAATTTGAATGTGGATACTCTCAAATGAAAGCTGAGAGTCTACACATGGTGTCCATGTAAATTATATAACTATTCCAATATAATTGGAATATGTTTCAGTAAACAGGTAAAAAACAAAACCTGTGTCAGTGTCTATATATATGAACCTAACTGTATAAGTGAAGAAGCATAACAGACTACTTTTGGAAAACGTATTTTTGCTCTCTCCCTGAACTGCCATTGATTTACAGGATAATCCAGGCTTGCATTGCGGTTAGGCTGGCTCGGTGGGCTCCTTTTGTATTTTACTTTCAGCCACACTTGAAAACAAACATTTAAATTGATTCACATTAAGATAATACCTTTTAAAATAAATGTTCAGCTGCACTGACGGGAAATCAAAGAGAATCAATGCTAATGAGCACTTCTGATAAACCAAGCTGTGGCAGTTTTGTGTAATTTGTCATTGATCTTTAATCATAATGTGGTGCATTGTTCTACTGTTGCTAATTATATGTTTTGTAAGAAACCTGTTACCACAGAAAGCCTGAATGGAATTCACCCCCAGCTGTAGCCACAAAGACTTGCACCACCGGCTTCTGTTTGCTGTGTGTTGACTGGAACTGCTGTAAACCCTTTAATATTGACATTTGTCAGGCCTCCACTCATCATCGTTGTAATGGTATAACTGTAAAGTAAGCAAATTGGGTTTTTGGCCAACATCGCCAAACAAATTTTTTTCACATGTTTTTGTTTCATGAGTGTTTCTGAGATTCTTTTTTCTTTTTTTTAACATCTTTCTTGTGTGCTGGCGTCCATCCTCACAGGACGTCTCACCACAGCCCATTTGCAGCACTGATGACTTCGAGCACAAACTGCAGTGAGAAACGTCATTAACATCTGTTTGTGGTCCACACAGAGAGGTTTAAGGCCATGTGAAAACAAAACAACAACACTGACGAGGCCAACAACTGCAGAGTCTGGGGCAGGGACCGAACGTGGTTTCCCATGACTGTGTCATCCCAGCTTCCCTCCCCTGTCCACCCTCCCTCGGCCTTGTTGTTTTTCTTGCTCTCTTCTTCCCACTCACTCTCCGCCATTAAATCTCGCCTAGTCTTCCTCTCTACGCTCTTCTCTCTTCTCTTTTACTATACCCTCCCAGTTCCTGTCAGATCATTTTTCTTTCCTGTTGTGCTGACATCTCACTGTCACCTCCTCTGCCTCTTCTTTCCTTCTTGTCCTCCCTGTTCTCCCCTCCACCAGCTCCAGCACTCATTTCATTAAGATATTGAGACATTCATCACATTGGATTATATTTATAACCACACTGAAACTAAACTGAGTCAATTCTATAATTGGGCCTACTGATTCCAAGGCTTCACATTTTCTTCCAATTATTTCAATCTTTTCCTTTTTGTGGCTCAACATATTACACATTTTCAAAGATTCTATCATGCTAAGAACAGGATCTGCCAAATCTCCTCATTGAATTGCAAATTTTAGTCTCTTGCAGAGCTGCTCTTAACGCGTGCATCATATTTGATACATAGTTTTTGTGAGTTTTTCAGACTTCTACTTCATTGGTGTGAACACCCCCCTCCAAAAAACCTAAAATAAATTGCATTAAACACATAAATTTTTAAGTAATAAAGTGGGGGGAAAAGCAAGCAAGAAGGTCCTGAGTTTGAATCCATCATCTGCTCGGAGCCGTTCTTTGTGCAGTGTACATGTTCTCTGCATGTCTGTGTGGGTTCTCTAGTGGTACTGGTGACTTCCACTGATTTGCACATAATATGTAAGTGAAATTGAACAATCTAAACATAACTACATTACTCTTTCATATTAAAACTGTTCTGTTCAGAATGTGAATGCTTTTCAATTTTCTCTGTTTCTGTGCAAATTTGAAAAAAAAAAGAAAGAGATTTCTCAGAATCCCACAGAATCAGAATAATTGATGCTCATGAAGCTGAAAAAGGTAAAATAACTATTTTCTACAGTTTCAATTTAACTGATCTGTGATTGAACACATAGCATGGATTCTTTATTGTGCCATCATGTTTTTAAAGAAAATGTCAGGATGTTTTTCTGCAATATGAATATCAAGATAAAGTTATTCAATAAATGATGGAATTGCTAAACTAAAACGCAAACACTCACAACTATATTTTAAGCATTGATATTAATTTGATTTTATTCAGTTTAATTTTATTTATATGTAGCAACCAAGGTGCTTTATATTGTAAGACCATACAGTATTAAGAAGAAAACTCCAACAGTCAGACAAACCCCATTGAGCAAGCACTTGGCGACAGTGGGAACGAAAAACTTACTTTTAACAGGAAGGAACCTCTGGTAGAACCAGAAAAAATAAACCTGGTTAGCTTTTTCAGTGCTCTGTGCGTGGGTGATCTTTCTGTTAGTCTGTGACATACAGACAGATATGACTGACAAGTTTTGGGGATAGTCCAATAATAGTGAAAAACAATTACCTGATTTGAATTTGGCTATATCTCCATTCGAAGGCATCTTCTTGGCCATATCCAGACAGCTTCTAGTGCAGCTACTATTTTTAGATCACTCACTAGACGTCCCATTCTGACCACTTGTGCTGTGCACTTGGCAGTTTCATCATGGACCTCAATCCTGGACAGAGAGCAACCCCATGTTTGTGCTAAAGGTTATCACAGCTCAATGATCAGGGCAAGGGGAGAGACCAAAACCATGCTTGTCTTTTTTTCTCTCCCTAAATTCATTTGGTTGTGCACCATGACTTGGCACCCAAAGGCAAAACCTTCCATGCTTATTTCTATTATAAAATCCTGAGGCTCATGGAGAGAACACTGAGCAAACACCGACAAATTGAAAAGCCAGGAGCTTTTTGGCCACACCAGTCTTACCAACTGCCTCCCTTCCTTACCAGGTATGTCTCCCTGCTTTCCTGCCCACGTTCCAAAAGTCAAACTGAAAGTTTGACATGTTGAACACTGCACACATTGTCTGAGACACAAGTGCAAGGGGACAGAGTGGGACTTTCACTGAGACATCTAAGAGAAGCTGGAGAAGATATTCTTGAACTGGATATCAGACAAATATATTTTCATTTGCATAGACCCCTTCCCTTTTTTTTTTTATCAAATAAACTACTGCATATTCACTACCTTCTCTCATATGCATATTTTTTATTTGCTGTTAATTTCCTTGCAGTGATATTTCCTTACAACATACGTAGTGTCCTACATACATACATGTATACATATATTTGATATATATATATGTTGCCCCTCCCATACTGTAACCCCCCCCGCCCGCGCCACATGCGCGCACACACACACACACACACACACACGCACAGCCAATGAGTGTGTGTGTGTGTGTGGGGTGGGACTGTGATAGGGCGCAGGTGGCAACCTAATCATCACTGCAAAGTGCTATTAATATACCAGAGTGAGAGGAGCACACACTGACACAGGAAATATGAAACACAGATATACAGAAAGGCAAGGAAAGAAGAAGAATCATATGGAAGCGCTTGTTCTGCATTAAGAGAACAAAAAACCCCCAAACAAGCACACACAAAAAAATCAAAAAGACGTTGTCACAACTTAAGAGAAAGAGAGAATAAGAAAAGTAGCATGGACACTGTTCTCATTTTCCTTCAGTGTTCCTGGCTCCAGACCAAACGCAGTCTGCCTGCCTCCCGTGGGGAGAGTAACTCCAGGCCTGAATTCCATTGTGTTATTTCATGTTTTCCTCTCTGCCACAACAATCTCTGCCCGAAGAACTTGTAAAACACACTGCACAGGCAGCTATGTGCACAATAGAAGCACATGCACCCTGGCTGGCACGTATACACATAAAAACACAAAAGCACAGTGGCTGATACACAGAATGCAAGCACAAGCAACGTAACACTCCCTCTGCTTTAGCTACTTTCCTGTCTTATTTACATTTCCTAAAGCTTCAAATTAGGACTTTGGGAGAGACTGAAACAGAGAAGCTGAAGTCTTACTTAGACAGAAGTCATTTCCGCTGTGCTGGGGAGGTCTTTGGAGGGTCAAGCCTTCCACAGCCTCGGCTGTGTGAATCACATAAACACTGAGTGAAACACTCCCGCTTTGTACCCGACTGCAGTCCTCCTACTCTGCTCACACAGCAAGAGCCACACTTAGCCTGTTACAGCACACACCACTTTGTGCTGTGGTATTAAGAGTGTTTCTGGAAGGGAGTGCTGTTGCATGTCTTCAGTGTCCATTCATGGTCTGACGGTGTCCAAAAATTTACTTCTTATACATACATACATACATACATACATGCATATATCTATCTATCTATCGATCTATCTATCGATCGATCGATCGATCGATCGATCGATCGATCGATAGATAGATAGATAGATAGACACTCTACCAAAACAACAAAAGACATGATAGAATGATTTTCACAGGCTCAGTAATGTTACCAGATTTAATCTGGTAATCTATACGTGGAAAAACTAACACATTATTATGTGACATTTATTCTTATGCCCTAATTACCCTGCTCATCCATACTAGCCATTACTAGGTTTCCTACCTTTAGGTTAGTCATTTTGCTGTATTGATTTCTTCCCCTGAGAACAACCCAGATTAGTGTTGTGCTGTAAAGCAGCAGATCAAACATAGCTGCAAAGGATCTGGCTTGCTGTGTTTGTTTTCTCGCGCTCCTGTCAAAATCTGTTCCTCTTTCTCAGCCTCGCATGTGCGCTCACACAAACACCCAAGCACAGGCTCACACGAGGCAAAGCAGCTCTGTGATGGGACCCATCAAACAAAAGCCAGCTGATGTTCGTGAGAGATTCGGGGCTACGGATTGATTCCATGTACAGCAGATGAAGAATGGAGGTTAAATGATTAATCGCATCTGATTTTGTTAGAGTACCACTAGATGATGTTGTATCACATGGGAGTCAAAGTAGAAAAACACAAAGGCGAAGTTATGATTTACAACGACAAGAAAACAAGAAGCACTCAGACCGTTTAAACTTCAACCGAGGCAGCTCACTATCTGAGCAGTATTTAATCTAAGTGGAATATTATTGCATTTTTTGTAAACTAATTTTTTCTTTGTTCTTTTTAAACCTACTTTAAAAGGTTTGTAGTGCAGTAAAACCACGTGCCAAGTGCAGGCATTGTTTGTTTTCCACACTGTTTAAACATTTTACTAAACACTGAAACATCATTGCAGTGTTTAGTAAAATACATTTCATTTTTTTGTGATAAATATCAAGTGAAACAAGTTTTTGATCACAATTTTATTTTGTTTACCAAAAAAAAAAAATTCTTTTTCAGGAACATTGTACATGTATTTAAAATATTACTCATTTAAATGTTATGACCTGTTACTATAATGTACTTTACAATATCATAATAAAGTAAATTTAGAATAAGAATTTACAATACCCACATATCATTACCTATATATCTATACGTTGTCAGTACAAACAATGGCAGTATGCAACATAATTTTAAAATGCTCTACGTAGCATTGTTATGACCTTGGCCTTCTGTTGGCCTTGAATAAAAAGGTCAGAGGTCAAATGTGACATGATATTTTATATCTTTATACAATTCTTCCTATATGTTGACAATACACAGCACACTTGTAAGAATCATATTTTCTAAGTTACAAGGCATTTTGTCAGGTTTTACCAAGAAATCACTGAGTTGACCTTGAACCTTGATGTAAGCCAAATTGCAATGGATTATTAACATGAGCCACTCTACAAACCTCAGATATTCATTTAAAAAGCACTCACAGTAACGCTACATAAAACACAACCTCCTTGGTGGAGGTAAAAATGCCCAAAAAGAAAATATCATCATAAGAAGTAAAATATGAAATAAAAAAAAAGGATGGCAAAGGTGTGCCTTTATTGCTAGTCTGGAGTAGGTTTCGCACAATAGGACCTTCAATTTTACCCTTCAAGGCTGCAGTGCAGATAATATAAGATGTACATGATGAGTAATTATCTATAGCTGCCAAAGAGAAGTAAAAAGCAATTATAAAACCAACTAAGTGTACTGTACCTGATGCCATCCCATGGTATGGCATGATCCACTCAGTGAAATGCGCCCCATGCTGTGGACTGCTAACAGGTGGTCATGGGTTACCTTGGGGAAGGCGTAAAGCTCTACAAACTGATTGTACAGAGAATTTAAAATGATCTTCTACACAATCAGCCGTGTCTCTGGCTAACTTTATATTTTTATTGTGCGTGTGTCACATAGATGGATTTCATCTGGACATTGCTCACACATGCCCCGGCTTGTCTGACTGACCGTCTCAGTTTAGACTGTCAGATCTCCCAGAATGTGTTAATGTGCGAGAGGCATGTGTGTGTGGGGAGCAGCTGTACATGTACCGAAGTTTTGTATTAAAAACATTTCTTTTTCCTCTGTCTTCTCTTTGGTGGATTATTAATTTTTTCCTTGCTGCATACCCTAGTGACACCAGTGAGCATGGTTCACTATCAACGATGTTGTTAAACACATTTTACCAGGTTGAGAGTTGGTGACCATGACGACAGTTTCAGGTTTCAGTGGGTTCCCGTCCACACAGTGCAGCTCTGCACTTGAATATAGTTTCTCCATCCAACAGCTCATTTACAGCTTAAGTGACGGGCGGAAGTATTTGGTTAGCGGTGCACCTGCAGCAGCTTTCCCAAGACCGTGTATAAATATACAGGCCTAATATGGAAATGCAAACTTGGAAAGACAGAGGAATGCGATAGGTGGCTGAGGTTCTGCAATGCAGTTGTCATGGAAATGTCTACAAGAGTAAAGCAGATTTATTGTACTTCCCTCTTTTAATGATAATAATAATAATAATAATAATAATAATAATAATAATAATAATAATAATAATAATAATAATAATAATAATACATTTTGAGGGCGCCTTTCTAAAATCCAAGATCACCTTACAAAGAGAAAAAGATATCATTAAAACAGTAGATTAAATTATTAGATTTTAATAAATTAAAATACCAAAAACAACAAAATACAAAAAACAACAAATAAAAACCCAAACCCCCCAAATAAACCAGGTGTGACAGCAAGTAAAATCTGCATTAAAGCTAGTAAGCTAGTTTAAACAAATAGGTTTTGAGTTGTGACTTAAATAAGGGAAGGGAATCTATAGTTCTTAAGGCTGAAGGAAGTGAGTTCAAGAGCCGAGGAGCAGAGCGACTGAGAGCTCTGTGCCCCATAGTGATAAGACGAGCAGAAGGAACAACAAGATGAGTGGCAGATGAAGCTCTGAGAGAGCGGGAAGCAATGGTGATATGAAGCAGTTCACAGAGATAAGGAGGCGCAATGTTATGAATACACTTAAACGTGAGAACTAAGATTTTAAAATTTATCCTGGCTTCTGGGCAACCAGTGAAGCTGTTGAAGAATTGGGGTAATATGGTCTCTTAAGGGAGTCCAAGTTATGACCCGAGCGGCAGAATTCTGAAGAAGTTGAAGTTTATGGAGAGACTTATTGGGGAGACCAAACTTTTATCATGAATGGCGCATATATGTTTGAATGATTTCAGAGCAGCTAATTATGACTTAGCAGGTTACCTACATAATGTTTATGAGATCACTTCAACAGGAAATGTGGACTCTGCACGAGGATTCAAGCTTTTCATCACTGTAGAAGGGACAGAAATAAGCATTTATAAAGGTATCGCTGACCTTACAGCATTTGTGTTAACTAACTAAAAATTAAGGCAAAATGCCTAGCCAATAAAAAAGAGGTTTACATTATGTATGTGTTCATTAGCTGTAACTGTGGCAAACGGGGGCTTGTGGAAAAACACTGAGAGAAAGCTGGGAGAACCATCAAAAGTGACCTGTAACTCATTCTAAACATGACAGACATATTTGTTATGTGTTGTAAATGCCCTTCATTTGTCTTCTATCTGGGTGAAACTAAAGGAAACAACAGAGAAATCTAAGGACAGATTACACTGGTTGATTTCAGATGTCAACAACCCGATTCTTGTAAGCCTGTAAGCTCTCCTGTTATAAGATCATTTCCTGTAGCTGATTAGAGATTAAATTCTCACTTCTGTCAAATCTCCCTGCAGTTAGCTTGGAGGGGTGAAGAGAAGACATGGTATCTCACTTGAGTCTGCGTTTCAGCTTCATTGCTTTTTCTTGAGGATGCAGGATTTGGAATCTAAAAGCTACAAATTTTCCTATGGAAAAAGAGGGATGAATAAAAAATTCAAAGACACAACTTTAAAAATAAATAAATAAATATAAAATAATATGACCCATGACTAAAGGTGTCATTACCCTGTAATTAAATGGAATTTTAATTAACTTTATTTGAAATGACAATATAACCATATTCAGATGCAAATATTTAAACACTTAAACGTAGGTACATATAGGGGGTAAAAAGTCCCCCCCCCCCCCCACACACACACACACAGACAATCCCCAAAAACAACTTTTAATACATTGAAGTAGTGCGTGAGTAATTTTAAGTACTGCCTTTTCCTGGTAATTTAGCAGAAAAACAAACACCATTTTCCCATCTGACTTAGTACGACGCCGTACTCAGGGTGCGGGTTGCTTTGCTTAACTTACCGAAAAGGAGACACGCAAGTAAACAAGGACAACTGAATAATAGAAAATCCATCACTGACATAATCACATTGATCTATATAACGAATATTAAGTAACAATGTAAAAAAAAATGACGCTGTGAAAAAGTCAAGTCACACCAAAATATTGTTTTTCTTTAAAATGACCAGAAATGACGCAGCACTGAAAATGACCTATAGGGTAAAATAATTTCTTTGTTTCCTGGTGTTTATTATATTTGTATGTAAATATAATTTATTTTCAAAATAAAATAGGCCGTATTATAAAGTGAGGTGGAGAGTAATGGATGGCGCTCGCAGGTGCAGCCTGCCTCGAGGTCGCGCACGGCAGCGCGCTCCGGCTCTGCACCGTACCTCCCACTTCCCCAGCTTGTTTAAGTGCTCGCCTCCTTTACTTCAATGAGCAATATTGTTGAAAAGTCAGTGCGCCACTGAACGCCAGCGGACCACAGTCTTCAAGCACAGCCTGCGCGCTGCAGTGCCATGAGACACCTTCTGGTCTGAACTCCGTGCACACGCCGACCACGCTGCGCTGCAAGAGGAGGTTTCTGAACTTTTCTTGGAGGGTTTTGCATTTGATAGGAACAAAGTGGATAAAACGTCCGGGTAGAAGCTGCTCCAGCGTATTCCTGCGGACTTTGGGTTTCTTTGCCAAGGTAAGCCTTTTTGATAGCCACACTGAAAGTTGTGTGCACAGTGAACTGTGTTGTGGTTCCTTTAATTCTTTGGATTGAAGCGATTTGTATTAAAGAAAATCTGCTCATGCGTTTGGGTGCTGTGATATCGATTAGATGTGCAGAGTTAATCCGTTCTTCTGCAAACTTGGACGCTCCGAAGCACACTCGTAATTAATCCGGCATCGGCTCCTTCTAGTACCTTTTACTCAGCCAGCTCCGGACGTGAAAGCTTCCTTTGTGGTTGTGATTTTGTCAGCATATCCTCGCATTCCTCTCCGCATATACGGGTCAGTATCTCGGGTCAGGATCTGTTGGACAGACGCGCTCAGAGGAGACGCACTTAACAGAAGAGACGCTGAGAGGACCGTTTCCTACAGAGATACATGGAAAACAGGATTAGCTCTTATCTTGGTCGTTGCTTCAGACCGTGTTGGAGTCGCATGTATCGGATTAGAACTCGTTATCTGCCCCTTCACCGTTTCTGCCTCTCCCACCTCTGGCTGCTTGAGACTTTAATCTCCGCAATTAGCTGTTGATTCCCCAGAGACAAATCAAGGTATCACCTCTGGAACATACCGCCAGTCAGTTCAGAGTGATGATTTCATTTTGTTTTCTTTGTGATGTTATCCTGTCAAGCCTGGATATATATATATATATATATATATATATATATATATATATATATATATATATATATATATATATATATATATATGTATGCACATTTTATTTAGTGGCTGTTTTAAAGAGTTTGCCTTCACTTATATTTTAAATATAAAAGTATGATGATGATCAAAAACACAGATTCCAACTCAAGTTTAAGGACTATTTTATTTTTTTGCGCTTGTCTTTGGTTGATGTTTCTGTAAACTGAACACTTAAAAAAAACTTTTGATATCAATGAAAAACTTTGTAAGTTGAACAAGGTGCTGTCATTTTTGGGATCATGTGGTGTGGATTTCTCACTTTCCCCCCTGACATTTTATAGAATAAGCAACAGAACACAAATGCATAAACCTCTGAACTTGATAATAGAAGGCAAGGAGTCAAAGATTCCTCTAGGGGTTTTGGAAAGCTGTGCTGGGCATTTTACTGTTTTACAGTCATCCACTTCAGGGTAGCCTGTCATAGGACAAGAGGCAGGGTACAAAGGTTTTTTCTAACTTTTGAAAAATAAACAGTTATTCTAAACAATATTTATATCTTATCCATCCTTATCCTTCTATCTTTTCGATTCATCCATCCAAAAGAGCACTTTTAGTCATCAATATTCATGTCTAAACTCTCTGATACTGCAGTGGTAATATGTAGAAGGAATGCCTGCAATGACTTGTTTATCTAATAAATGTAGACAGCAATATACTGAATCTGACCTCCCGTCTTCTCCTTATATTGCAATTCGCTGCCTTCACTGTCTGCTCCGTGATGAGTTTGGGGTAGTATAACAAACCCAGCGTGGAGTATGACTATGGGAAAAGCAAAGAAAGGTGGAGACAGATGGGATGGACAGAAGTGAATACAGGAGAGTAAAGCAAACATTCCTGACGCGGTGTCTCAGCAATTTAATTAAGGTTTCTGGTGAGATGCTGCAGCGAGCACCTCGAGGTGAAGGCTTAACCTCAACTCTCCTCATCTCAAGCTTGGACTAATCCCAGGGGTCAGCTAATAAGTGTTCAGGTCGAGCCACCATGACAACTAAATAAGGGGGAACATGAAGGAAAGTTCCTCCATCAGGGAGTTAATAAGCTCATGAATGAAGTAAAGAGGTACAAGGTGAAGAGGGTTGGTTGGATGGATGTGTGTGTGAGATTTCACTTGTTATCAGCCACACCAGCTAACACCCCTCTTAGTGGAGTTTAAATGAGCCCTGTGGTCCTCAGATGTTTCACAGCTAAAAGTAACCATTTATACAGAAGACATTACATTTATTTGCATTTCCACGAGTCTTCCTCTAAGCTCAACATTATTGACTTCTTTCCTAGCCTTAACATCTTGACTCTTTACTAAAGGAGTGAACATAGCCTGTGGATCCAAAAAGTGACTGATCCTTTCTTACTAATGGCCAACAGGTGGCGACCCACCAGCCACGTTCTACAGTAGTGAGCCCACTTCTCCCTTTATTTCTGACCTCAGTAAACCCGTTCTTAACGAGTTCATGGTTTCAGGTGCTAGTTTAAAAATATTAGTCAATGCAGTCTGATGTTCATTTTGTAAATTATGATTTTGAGCGATAGAGCAGGGTTATGCCTTAGGGTGTGGCTGTCTTGTGATTTTGACTGGCAGTTCGTTACTGTCCCACTCCTGATCGTCTGCTTTCAAAAATCCAAGATGACAACACCCAAAACGCCAGGCCCACAAAATGATGGGTGAAGTCATAGTCGGTACATTCATTTTTATATATTCTAGGTATATAACACTAGGTAGACTTTCCATAATGTGACTTTGCAAATGCATTCACATCCACATAAGTTGAATAACACCTAGCTCTTACACACAAACACACACACACCCCTCCTTTGAGGTTAGAATTTGGTCACTGTACCAAACTTGAGTAGGCTTTTTATTGGTAAACAACATTAGTGACACAAAAAGCGGTACTTATTTTCTAGCCCTTGTAATGAAGTGAACTTCCCTCCAACATCGTGCTATTTATATTTCCGTAGATTTGTAAGCCTCGATGAGCTGGCGGCACTGTTTTTCTTGGCTTTCCTGAATGAAAAGTTTCTCCCTCCCTACTTCATCCTGACACTTTTACCATCCTGTCATTCCTTTCTTGTTTTCTCTGCGTCCGCTGCGTTTTACATGTGCAGATGTGACATTTTTACATTGCAGAGAGACTCCCGTCAAGCCTCACCCTCCTGCTCCCTTGTTCTGGTTTCTTCTTCTCTGTTATCCAGCTTTGTTTTTTTCTGTAAGACTAATGCTTTTTTGTGGCTTTCTCTTTTATGTGGAACAGAAAGTCCCAATTAATCCAAGGTAAATTGTGATAACCACCCTCCCTGTATCATAATCAGTAACAGAATTTGTTTACATTCAGTGACACTTTTTTAAGTTTTGGAGCGTTTTCACACCTTTTTTTACACTCTGTTCTAAATCAATTGACGAGTTTGTAAACTTGTATGTTTTTCCAACAGAGAAAACTCCAAGTGAACTGAAATGCGTCACTACAAAACCATGTGAGGAGGTTTGAGAAACCAGGAAGTAGTGTGAGGTCAGTGCATCGAAGCTGAAAAAATAATGGAAATATTAATAGCACAGTGTTGGAGGAAACTTTACCTTATTACAGGCACCAGACAGTACATACTCTCAATTATATTAATTATACTATATTGCCTATAAAAACTTTAGTCAGCTATTGACCAAATTCAGGCCTGAAGGTCAGATTGTGTCTGAGGTGGGAGCATCAAAGTCAGTATAGGAAGAAAGTGCTGTAGCCTGAACTAGTGGATAATTTTTACTCTTGACATTTGTATTTATCTGGGTGACTTTAATCATTTTACTTCTGGTTGTTACAGTTTGTGTACTTTGCATATCTGCGGTACTGCTGCATCCCAGAATGCACAGCGTTTAGCTCAAATTTGCAGCGTGCACATGGTGTTTGGCTTGGCCCGAGCTCACATTCAGATCATATTCTCAACATAAACGAACCACTCTGGAGTTCGCCTGATACTGGACTGAGACCACCTCCTATCAGGGGTGGTCATTTTGGTCCACACTCAAGTGCCATTACCATGTTCACATCTGCACAAGTGAACCGCACCAAGGGTGGAAATGAAACAGAGTTCGAGTTTAACTGACTCAACAGCGAATGTGCGAAAACACCCTCAGTCTGTTTAGAACTCCAAAAAGCTTTCAACAGAAGCCTTGCAATGGAAAAAATTAATGTAAGAGACCTCATTTGAAACTGACTTTCATCTGCTACCTTGTTTATTTAGTGCTGTTCTGGTGTTTAGCCTTAAATTTGTTTCAGTATACACTAATAACATAGAAATACGTGTCTGAATCTCAAATAAAGTCCAATACTGAGTTTATGTGTGTTTAATTTGTTGTTCATAGTTGTAAGAAATTTTAAAGCATATCTCCTCTCTCGGAAAAATCCATTCCTGGAATCGTTACATTTTCTACAAAAAAACATATCAGTTGAACAGTTGAATATTTACATAGATATGTCTTCACATTGTATCTTTAAACCAAACGCTTTATCAGTATCATCAGCTGTTATTCTGCCGTTATTCAGTTGCAACTGTCATTTCCATCACATTGGTATTTGAGCACAAAGTGTAAAGATAGAGGGAAGAATTCGCTCTTGCTGTTGTTGCAGATGTGCGGTGGGTTGAGCTGCTTGTCAGCTCAATTGAGAACATTTAAGGAAGTGAGGGCTACGCTGATGGAGCAGACGTCCAACATCAAGCCTCCGACTGCTAATAAATCATTCTGCCGAGTTGGGTCATTACGCTGCTCTGGATTTGCTCCCTTTTGTTATTTTAGCAGTTGATGAATGCATTTCTTTCTAACTTAACTAGTGTGATAAATTTAAACAATTTAAGTGTCAGAAAGAGGAACTTGTATCATGTTATTATCTCAATGACTGAAGTATCCTAATTTCCACAGTCACAAAAAACATCTTTGAATTGTTTTGTGCAAAACCTTTAAGACAGCAAATTTGCAACGTCATGAAACACACAACCACTTAAAAAGTACGCTTATACTCAATTTACTTTAAAAAACCCCCCAAAAAATCGAGACAAAGATTGTTTCAGTTACTGGAAGTGGATGCCTCTTTTTTTCTTGCAGCCTGTTATGCATCTAATTTTTGCCTAAATCCACTAAAACATTCATTTGAATGACAGGATTTGGGCTATATTGCTAAATTTGGTCTCTGTTTTCAGCAACATTAAAAAAAAAGGCTCTTGTTACATCTTTACAAGCCTCCTTGACAGCCGAGGAATTCAAGACTCAAACAACACATAACAACGTGAGGCTTAACACGCTCACCAGAGGGGAACCTCCTTGAGTTTAAACCCTGCTTACTCCCCTTCCACCACCAAGGATGGTTTAGGAGTTGTTACTCCTTTTACTAACCCGTGAAGCATGCCCCCCCCCCCCCCCCCCCTCCCGAACACCCACCCTCACAGTGTGTTGTATAAACACTGGCGGCTCAATAGTCAATAGGAAGGTAAAGAGCGTGACACATGCATGCTCCTTGTAACATTCCTGCGTGGTACCAGGAGACACCAGGAGATGTAAGATGCCTCCAGTAGAACAACTGTGTTGCTTTATGCAGAATGCAGGATAGTCAACCTTCTGATGACTTGAAAATACCTATTTTTCCACTCGGTCATAGCACTTAATGTGTGACGAGTTTAAGAACAAAATCTTAGTATTCAACAAAAGTTCCCCTTGGGGTTGAGACCTTAATAAAACTGCAAAATCAGCTTCTAAAAATGACAATGACCATTAAGCAAGTAAGCATTTTCCTTGCCAATTGAGAGCTGAGAGAATCAGTCTCTGTTCCATATAAAGAAAGCTTTCAAATTCAGACTTGCTCCTTAATCTGCCTTTAAGATAACACTTCACCACCCTGTCCTTCAGTGGGAGATATACCTGAGGGCAAGTGTGTATCTATGTATATGTGTGTGTGTGTGTCTTTGGATGGGGGTAGTGTAGTAGATTAGAGAAAGCCCAGCTTCCAGCCCCCTCTTTCTGAGCCCCTTTCCATCTTTTTTTTTCCTCCTGGGGGCACATAGTCTTGCTTTGCACGCATACACACCCTTTCATTCCCATTCACAGCACAAGTCAACACACACACAAACACACATGGCCTGGGGACTGCAGGGCCTCACAAAGCATTTCAAAGATCAGAGGTCTGGACCTGTGATATTTTCAACAAGTCAGACAGACAACAGGTGAGGACAGAGGCCGTTTGACAAACCGGCATTGTTGCTCAATACAGCCGCGTGCACTAAAGTTGACGTGTGTGCCTAACTAGTTGTACGCATCAGGACTTTTGAAAGATCGCTGAGCCATTGTTAGGTGAGGTGTTACTTTAGGGGACCTCTATAAGTCTGCATAGAGGTGCATGTGTAGTATCGTGTTTACTCTCAGACAGGTAAGACCTGATTTTGTCTGTTTTCAAATCTCCGTTTGCCTATTTGCACAATTCATGAGTGAGGTTTTTTTTTAAATAGAGAATATAATGCACATTAACATAAACAGTTATTCGGTTACATTAAACACCCTCTAAATTTCAGCTCTGTGAGACTGCACAGAGCTGACTACAGATGATTAAGTAGCTTGTAGAAGCACCTTTAGCAGCAATACCTCGACTTGCTGTTGCCTTTCCTGCTCTACATTGTCTTATAAAACAACAGAATTCTGCAAACTACAGAAACTTTTGCTTTTAGACGTATAGTGAGAAATAATGAGAGGATGTGAGGTAAATCTTCTATTATATGTTTCCTAAAATGTTAATGCTGGTCTGTCACAATATTACGCTGCTTAATGCTTGCCTTAGAAGTCAGATATCGGTGCTGGGAGTGACATCACTCCTGTGTTGAGCGCATTTTAGTAGTCAACTTGGAAAAGCAAGGAAAAACAGGACCTGTTTAGCCCCTTAGGAAGGTACAGGCATCCATGCATCACTAGCAATGCAATGTAATGGTTATTATTTTGGCTTAAAAGCACAGCTGCAGCACATTGAAAGGCAGATCCTGGTCAATGCCCTGATATCACTTATTTAGCCAATCACAAATACACAACAGTGACTTTAAAGATTGCAAGTTGTACAGTTTTACTAATGTTAACATGCATTACGTGCGTTGGTCGTGCGGGTGTTGGTGTAAGGCTGGAAGTCTGACCTGAGGGGACGTTCCAGTTGAAAATTCTATCTTGGACCTTAGACATTTCGACTTCAAATGGAGTGCACCAATGGCTCTCAAAGCATGCATTATCTTGGTAGCATTCTGCAGTCTTCTTTGGTGTTGTGTTGTCAGGATTGCACATTTAACTCAGTGAAGAGTTACTGAAAGCTTGCTATGGCAGAATGAAGTCAAGAGTATTCTTAGGACCGATTGCTAGCAAGTTTAGTACCTAATTTCTAGAGCTGGGCTCAGGCCATTGTTTTTCGGTAGGAATCTGGTTTTAAATTTTGTATTTTTAAATTACTAACTTGGAGACTGATATCTTAACTCTAAATAAGACCTTAGAGTTTCCCTGTGATAGCAACAGAACAGTCAGTTGGTACATGAGAGTACTGGAAGGATAATCTCTAGGCGGTTGATCAGGCTTTGGTGTAAGTTAAGGGAGTACCAACAAAAAACCCACAAACCAACTAATTAATGGTTGTTAGTTTCAGGATTCCTCTTTTTAAAATGCTAGGTGAAACTAAACTGGGTATTCCAGCTTCCTCCCACAAACGGAAGAAAAACATAGTCTTTGGTTAACTGGACGTTGGTGTGAATGTGAGTAAAAATGGTTGCTGATGGACTGGGGTGGGCTGGATAGTCCAGGTTGTACCCTGCCTCTAGTCATATGTCAGCTGGGATGGCCTCCAATAGATAGACGGAGTGTAACAGTGACTAATGAATGAAGAGGCATAATTGATCCCTTTGGGGGTAAAAGGAGTTGTGCAACAGTGAAAAGATATCAACAAAAGTTACTGTAAAGTCGGCTGAATCACATCCATGACTGCAGGTGTGATGCTACACTTGTTACCCAAGAAATTCAACAGTCAGACACTTAGTGTCTGTGAATAACATAAATCACTGCTTCGCTGTTCAATAACAGCCTCGGGTGGATTAGTAGCAACTTTATGGGCTCTTTGTATGAATGTTGAGTCTTGCCAGTTATGTTGTAACTTGCAAGTTACCATAACTGGCAAGACTACTGTTATCAATTAACAGAAATTCTTTCATGTAAGAGGATAAATGTCATGCACATGTCAATCCACAATGATGATGTGTAAAGAAAAAAGCTTTTAGACAGTGCTAATCAGTACAGAAGTGCATGCTAGTGCTCATTCATATCTTGCATAGAACTTTTGTTGCCTCTCTCACATACATACTGATAGAAACACACAGGCACGCACAGTCACAGGTCTTCCTTGGGGGCCTCGCTGCAGCTGGCAGGGGATTAAGGGGTCAGGAGTTAAAGGGGGACTCAGTCAACCAGAAGACTGGGACAAGAAACTGACCAAGCAGAAGAAGGACAGGC